TAACGTCTATAATATCATTTACGAATAAGCACTCAAAACAGATACTTGACGTCAATAGATGCTATAGTATATAGATGCTTCTGTTTTGTTATATCATGTCTATGATAGAAAAGTTACTCTGAACTAAAAACACTAAATCAAACTGTAAATTTTACTTACTTTGATCTTAATTGTTGATACAAGAAAGGTTCATAGTTTTGTTTAAAGTTAATTTAATTTTATTATTTGTTGCTATTAGCGACAATGGAAGTGTGCTCTTTGGAATATAGTTGACTTTATTTACCAATGATTTATTTACACAATTCAACTTTCAAATATTATTCGTCAAAATTTATTGGTCAAATGGTTCAACCACAGAAATTTGATGTGTCGATTGGTTTCTCTATGGTTTCTACATAAATTGGCTCCTCTAAAGTTGGTACAATCCTGTAATCGGCAAAGTTTGTATTTTATCGGAAGAAGTGGTGGGGTATTGATAGCATGGAATAAAGGTTACTATTGAATAATTGTTGAGTAAATTTTAAGAATAATTAATCAGGAAATTTGTCAGATAGGATTGCTTAGTTGCAGCGGAGATTGTATAACGTTGATTCTCAAGTGTTATTTATATAAATTTAATGTAACTTCGAGAAATGTCTTCATATCAGATGATTTCACGTCTTTCCAAATTTACTATCTTTCCATTTTCCTTATCCGCGGAGTATTTATGCTATTTTAATATCGTGAATTAGATTTATTGATCGTATTGTCATATTAGGTTCAGAATTTTAGTATGATAATAAAATTACGAATTTTACTAAACTGGAAAAGTAGGTATACACATATACCGTCAGTCAGAGTTAACCCATATTAACGTATACACCAAACCATATACATTAGAAGAAAAAAGAAAAATCTTCAAGTTTTTGTCCTAGAGTAAATTCAAATAAATTTAAGTATCAATGATACTTAATTTTTCAAAGTACAAATATACATTCTGTAAATACCAGAAGAAATAATGAGTCATTAAAAATAATCGATAAATGTGCTCACATTTGTTGGTTGTTACTAGCTCAAAAAAGTCATCAAAGCACTCAGATTTAGTATAAGTTCATTGTTTATTACCATCATGATAGTTCTAATTAATTTTGCTAGTAAATAAATAAATTTTATACTGATCGAATTTAGCTCATTCATTTATTTAAAATTATTGTAACAAATATGTAACTTATAGTTTAAATCAAAGGCTAAACAATAGTCAGAAAGCAAGATACACTGAACAGCTTATTCATTCTAGTATAGGACTCATAGTGGTGATCTGAGATCCCACTAGAAATTGAAAATATGACTTCAGGATTCACTATTGGCTTTTAATTTCCATAACACTGGACTAGCATTCAGTGATTTGGATTTCTAACTCCAGTCTATTCACAATATTCTGTGAACTGCATTTGTTGCTCTCATTTATACTTATCTTACGTCTAGTTTGGTTGGACCACTCTGATCATGTCTTCTCACCAAAATTTCTGAATGTTTTCTTACCGTTACACCCAAAAAATACTTGAATATTATCAACTTATAATGTTTGTGGAGATTGTTCGATTTACACTTTTAATTGATTGCATAGTTAAACTCAGTCTTCACCATATCATTGCTAAGTCACTGTTTACTATTGTTATATTAATTATCTGAATCTAATAAACACTAGTGAACTGCTGTCAGACGCTCAAGTATATTTGACTACAAAATAAGAAAGTAATGCTTATAAGTCGTAAATATCCAGTTGTGATTTTTGGTCAGACACATAGTTTCCTTTGTCATCTTAAGAAGAACATGAACAAAGATTTTAGCAAAATAACATAAATTAATTGGTTGATTCATGATTTCAATGAAACTCAAAAATCTTCAAAATCCTATGCTTCCATTCATCAACTTCATTATTTTATCAGCTGTTTACAACCCGTAATATTTAAAAAATCATAGTTAAAAAAATGGGTTCAAATTACTTACATGAATGATTTTAGTTGGAAGCGACTATGAACATAGATCATTATGAAATAGCATATATGTAAATAAATTTAAGGGATTAAATAAAATGTTGGTGGAGTTTTGTTCTCGGAGCTGGATGGTTTGGTCGTGGAGAACAAAACTCCACCAAAATCATCCACCTGAGCTACAAATCTTCTCCACCATCTTAAATAAAAATGTAAATATATATTTTATGAAGATTAACATTCAACAACATTAATAGTAATTTGAATCCACAGAGCTAAAAATAAGTAGTTACGCAATCAACAAAGACTAATAATGAGTGAAAATAAAGTTAAGCTCACTTATTGATCTAGAAGAGAGTTAAAAAAAGGCAGTGATGTGATCAGTTATGAGAAAGGGTTGAAAAAATTCTATGATGTAATGAAAAGAACATTTGTGTTGTGAAGGTAGATAAAGACCAACGACTGTTTCCTTTTGGACAAAGTAAATCAGATTTCTGGTTTCTAATAGCAATAGCTTCATGAAACTTCGGAAGGCTGAAGCTCGGTTGTTTTCTAATCATCATAAAAGATTTCAGTGTTTAGCTGATGCACTATTCTTAAGAGATGTTTAAAAATTGAACTATTTAAAATACTCCTTTTGATTGAAAGTTTTTAGGACTATGTTCAGAGGATCTAAAATAAACCATCACTTCTATTTCGCCAGTATAGTAACCTTGACAATAACTAGTAAATTGATAGATACATTTGATGGTAATATGTAAAAAAAATGCGTTGAAATTTTACTATGTCAGTGAACAAGTTGTTATGAGTAGGATTAGTAGTTTGAATATAGTGTAGTTTCTGATCACTTGGTAATCAAATTTAGGTTAAATAATATTAGAGATAGGGCATTTATAATTAGAATGATATTTATTAGAGCTAGATGAATTAAATTTAATCCACCAGAGAACAGAAATGTTAAGGTTGATAAGATGAAGAATGTTATCTTCAATCATGTTTAGACGTATTAGGCTGTGGAACCTGATGTTTCAACTATTCAATATGAAACTTTTTCTAATCTATTCACCATAATAATCAACGGACAGATATCTCTCTATAATATATTTCACAAAATTATTTAAATGGAATTTAATAGTCATTGTCACTGAAGTCTTTAAAAAAATACCGGCTTCATTTTCTCCCCTTAATTTACTTATGAGGCCTATGAAGAACTATGACTGAACAAAGTACATTTTACTGTCACTGAGTCAGCTAATAAATGATGCAAAACGAATGTTTTGTCTGCGATTTAAATCTAATGCCAATTAAGTTGTCATTTTTTAAAAGACAAATTTAAATTAAATAGTTGAATTCATGAGTCTATCTAAGCTAGACCGCCATTCAAAACTTGGAAGCACTAAATTGTCGTTTCGTCCTAGTACGGGACTCCTCAGCAGTGCGCATCCACAATCCCACATGTGGGACTCCAGACAGGTATTTACTTCAGAAAATGGATGAATGGTTGCGCAAGATCATGTAACGATTAAAGTTAGGCATTAACACCCTTGGATGCTGATTCAGTGGTCTAGAGGGACCGGCCGTCCTGTGCTTCCAAGTTTTCGGCAATGGTCTAGCTTAGATCGACTCATAAACTGAACTATTAAAATTACTACAGTCTCCATAAACCCCCATTCTGATAAAAATCTAAATTCACTTTGAATCTTATTTGTCTGTTAGATATAACTTTTTATAAATAAATCTGGTTGATTGATTGTATAAGTTGAATAATATAGAAAATGTACACATTATCAGATCGAATACACATGTCTTCTATTTTGACATAAAAACTGTAAAGAAACCACTTTATTCGAAGTATAAAGTTTTACAATTAAGTAGAAGTAAGCTGATATTTACTTGTGACATAAAATTTACTTGATCAGTCATGATTTTAGGTTATATTATTTAGTGTTTTCAATTCAAAAATCAATTTTATCTTATTCATACAATTATATCACATCCGGATGTGATTTTTGCACACCTTTTGTTAACCTGCTTTTACTTCTGGTAAAAATAGTTTAACAAGATTAACGCCAGTCTATAATATTTTACAAAATCCTGTAAGATAGTTAATAAAATAGTAATTTCCAAACAAGATAGATAGGAAATCATTAACTGTCAAATAAATGTAACATTGTTGGATTATTTATATTTAAGGATTCAGTCTTTATAGATTGGAACAAGCCTCATAGTTTGGTTGTGCAACTGATTCGTGAAGAACAAAAACGTTGTTGAATTTATTCAGAAGTTCTATCAATTTCAATATATTTATTTTCTTTTTCGGCAAAGATAAGATTAGACGAAAATTTTGACAACTTATTATGTTTCAGTTCAAAATTTACCAATAAAAATCGAAGTCATTAATTTTTTAAAGTGTGCCTAAGACAGGAAATCTTATCCCTTGAATATGTTTGGAACGAAATTATTTAAAATCAAAGATGAACTTTATAGTATGTTTATATTCTCACTAAATTAACATTAAGAAGTGTATAAAAATAGTAATATATAGTAAGTTAGTGAAGTCTATTTAATGTAAAATTCCTTTTATAATTTAACGTAATCTCTTTTTATTATCTTAAGTAAATGTCAATCAAAGTCCTGAAAACGGCATACGAGTGACTAAATACGTAGATTGGGTCATTCAAGTACTTTATCTCAATTACCATGTTATTTACATATAACATATATGAAGCACAAATATTACTTATATACCTACTAACATATGTGCACACATTGTGTTTAACTAATTCAAACCAATACCAAATGTTAAGAATGCATTTTATTTAAGTAGTAATTAATTTGAGAACAATTATGCACCTATACAAATATATATAAATAAAATTACAATATGAAATATTCTTTTAATGTAATAATTATATTTCGTGAGTGTACCATATTGTAGAATATAATTTATTAGAAGAGAATTTTGAATTTTCCCACCAATAAAAACACATATAAACAAAAAAATTCTAAACGATAAATTGATTCATAATGGCATTATCTAATACACCTAGTCAAGAATATAGTTGGCAAGGTACAAATCTACCTTTATTTGGTAGTGATGAAGATAAAAGAGTTAAAAGTAAGTTGTTTGTTTGCTTTTTTTTTCAAAAATATATTTTGTTATGAAAAATTAGTTACATGATATTGCATGTTTACCAAATATTCTTAATTAAGAAAGAAAAAGAAGAAACGTTTCACTTTAATTCGTTTCTCATCATTGGTAAATTGAATTACCATCGTTTATTTGGTATTGATTTTAGATTTTAATTATGTAACCTATATATTAGTGTAGTGTATATGACTAATTACATTCATAGTTGAAAATAACTAGAAAATGTGTAATTAACTAAATGGGATTCATATGAATTAGACATTTTTACTAACTAATTAAAAACAGTGGTACATTGTATATGTATAAATCTATACTCACTGGTTATTTAATGTGTTTAGTTTTATCTTAAGGTTTTTTAAGTTAGCAAAGTATTCTTTCTATTTGGCTGTTGTATGAGAGAACGGTGAATAAGATTGTTTCTACGGCCTGTATTTATTTTGCTTCAACTAAATTGACCGGGTTTAACTGAATAAGCAAGGTATGTGTTGGGACGGCTTTTGAGATCTGTAGAGGTCCTAAAGGAGTTGAAGAGTTTCCATCCAATCAGAATATAATGGAGCTTTCTAGAATGTCAACGTGGCATGCTACTATTGGGCAATAGCATAACATGCCTCTTTGCAGATTGACTGAATGATAATGTTGATATAACAAACTCTCATATCTATAAATACCTATGATTTTCTGTACATTTTGATTCTTACCGGACAAGTACTTTTTCAGTATTCTGTCTTCTGATCTGCGACTGTGGGGGTTTTATACGTTCGAGTGCCGTAGTTGTATACCGTATTCTGCATTAATCAAATATTGAACTTAACAGTATCCACTTAAACTGTACTTGAATGATGAACTTATAAGATTATAGGTTTCTAAAGGCATATTTCAGGGTTACAAATAAGGGATATAGTGATTTTTAAAATAGATATTCCTGATGTGATTCGTGAATATCATAAATAAAATAGGTTCTAAAAATCTTAACTAGTGATTATCATGCACTTAGTTTTTATGTGATGATACTGAAATACAGAATATTTTACAAAACATTTTTATGTTGTAAAACGGATGGTTTTGTAACTAAATATATTACATTTTATCACTGTTACGCACATTACGTTTTTAAAATAATCAGTAAAAATTGATATAAATTTCAAAGAGGAACTATGACTGCTTATTGTGTGTAACTCTATCTTACTCAGTATCTCTTAAACATTGTAAACAGTGACTTTTAAAACGTATTCTATATAATCATTCTATTCTAAATCTCTACAATCTCTCTCACTCTCCCTCAAAGTATTTAAAATGTTATCTTCCAATTCGTTATATTTTTATTCTGAGTAATAAAGAATTGAAAAATGACAAAATAAATACTCCCTCAGGTAACTCAATAGTTGAGTTCATCAGTCAATTGAAGCTAGACCACTATGGAAAACCTGGAAGCGCTGGACAGCCGTTTCGTCGTAGTGTGGGACTCCTCAGTTGTGCGCGTCCATTTCTTTAGATATTGACAGTTTAAAAAATTATAGTTTATTCCATAATAATTACTGCTATTCCTATATGGTTTTCGGAATGAATTAGAAAATGAAGTCTTCGATTAAGCTTACAATCTATCTATCTTTTATGGTATATTAACAAAATTAGAAATTAAAAGGGAAATCAGATATTGATTTGCATACGAATATAAAACTATTTGGAATACTCAAAGGGAATAAATTAAAATTTCATATTTTTTTAAATGTAATGTATATTGAGAACAAAACAACGTGCTAAACATCTTCCCAAATGCATAACTGTAACAAGGATTAAACTGTAATGTAATTCAATAAATTTATCAAAAATGTATTACTCATTTATCATCAGTAGATTATAAATACATTATGCACAAACTACGTTCTTTTTAAAACTTCTATTAAAGTTAAATATTAACCAATATCAGATGGGTTTTGTGGATATTATAGTAAATTGAATGGTTAAGATCATTAGTCAGTTGAAGCTAGACCACCATGGAAAACCTGGAGGCACTGCTGAGGAGTCCCACAATAGGACGAAAAGGCCATCCAGTACTTCCGGGTTTTCCATGGTAGTCTAGCTTCAACTGACTCATGATCTTAACCATTGAAATTATTAACTAATAATGAGAATAAATATTGTTATAATAATATTATTATTCTCTATATTTGCATTCGTTACATCAATGCTCATAATGAATTCCTTAATACACTTAAATTTCTCTTAATGTTGATAGATTCACTCTATTGTTTAATACAGTAATTTGGATTTTATTCTGTAGATAATTGGTATTCAATGATTAGCTAATAAATGCATCATTTACTATGTTCACAACCAAATCATAGATAAATTTATATATTTACAGAAGTACTCAGTAGGACAGTTTTTTTATTGTAGATAAATAGTTAGTTTAGATTCTTTTACTAGTGAAAAAACATGCTTAAAATTAATTTTTATTTTAAAATGAACAACACAAACAGTTACAATGTAGAATATACTTTTAATAAATAAGTTCTTCCAAGCAAACAAATCATTTTGTAAACATCAATAAAACCATAAATTCTTGTAAGCAAAGATATGTGGTGGATAGCAGCGGAATTCAGCACGTGAGTTTCGTCCTATTGGAACTCGTCATCTGAATGTACCTACATCTCATAGTTCCAGATTGAACGTTAACTCTGAAATGCAAATACATCCAGCCAATGGGTTCAAAATAGGACGAAACTTGCGTCCTGGATTCCACTGCTAGCCATCATCTATCTCTGCCTATAATTCTTGTGACTCAATGGAATATCAAGACAGTTCATACAGGATGCACATATATCAATAAAACACTGACCAGTTGCAGTCCTAAACATCAATAGGAAGATAATAAAAGACAATACAAACATAAAATCTTGATTTCTAGGAAAAATCTTTTATAAATTGATTTATCGTAATTAAGTTAATACATAAAACAAAGTGAGTGGAAATTACGTTCTATAACTCTTTTTGTTTTTACCTCTTCTTCATTATAAAACTTAACATTTTATCCTATATAGTTTAATCCTCATTTTTGTTTAAATAAACAACCATCATTGTACATTGAACATAATTGTAAAATAATACACGATATATGAATTTCATTTGTTCACCATACTAAAACAAAACAATGAAACATTTTTGTTTACTAATTAAATGTATGAAAATTAGATTCATATTAAAAAAAGAATAATAATGATGACAATAATAATAACAATGATAAAAAGGACTAATCAATAAAAAAATTTAAAATAAAGAATTAAACAACCTTTACATCATTATGTTCTAAATATTTGAATAATCCATTAAATGGAGAGAAAAAAAATAACGAGATTAAAACAAATTTCATTTGATGAGCAGCTTTTAAAATGAATGAAATAAAATTGATTATTAAGAATTTTTCTTTTAAAAAAACAAACAATAAAACATAACCATTTCATAAGCAAAGATGGATAGTGGCTAGCAGTGGAACCCAGGACGCAAGTTTTGTCCTATGCGGGACTCGTCAGTTGGATATACCTGCATCTCAGACTTGATGTTCACTCTGGGACTCGAACCTAGTCCCAAAGTGAACATCACTTCTGAGATGCAGGTATATCCAGCTGACGGGTCCTAAATGGAAAGAATTTCTCGTTGTGGATTCCACTGCTAGCCACTACCCATCTTTGTTTATAATGCTTATGAATTAAGGCAATATCAAGGCAATATCGAGGCATACGTACAGTATGCACATGTGCCAATAACAGACTGATCAATTGCAGTCTTAAACCTCAATGGCAAGATACAAGCCAAACAATACCAAATGAATAACCATTTCATATTTATTTATTTGTTTGTTAGCTTTCTTTTTCTTTCTTTTAAATATTTCTCTGTCTCTTGTCAATATTACAAGAAAATTCTACTATCATTGTCTATCATTTTATATAAACTAATGAGTTTTAATAAGATCTTGACAGTTATTCAGTGAAGAAAAAATAAGAAGGTGTAAATTCTACCCTTTATTCATTATTTTTTGAAAATTCTGTAATGTTTTATGCTGAATAAAACATTTTTACTTATGATTAACATAATTAAACTTTTATTATTATTATTATGTATTTACTTTATGGAATAACATTGTCAATCGACATCATCATCATCATTATCATAATGAATATTGAACATTAGTGTTTCTTAAAAACGATTCGATTGTTATAATGAGCTATTTTCAATAACTGTGAGAATTATAAAAAAACAAAAGATGAAATAAAAGTGAAATTTTTTGTGAAAAAAAAGAATTAGAGAACTTATTTAGTTCTTGTTTATTTGGCAATAACAGTCATAATAATAATAACCATATGAAACAGTCAGTAAAAATTATGTCAAAACTGAATGACTGATTGATAGAGGTAATAATATTAACACAATGAAGTATTTACACACAATACTTAAAACACATATATATGTATGATAGATAGCTCTTAGTTCAATAGTTTCATAAAATAATTGTAAAGGAATTTCAATGAATAATGTCAATTTAAATTATGGTAGAGTTATCGACGGGTAATCTTATATCGATCACTAATATAATAGAATACCTTTTTGGTGGAATACCTTTTGTACTGCATTTTGAAGTTAAGTTTAAAACTTGATTTTTAATATATCTTGATTACATTTATAATGTTCTGTTCCAATTTACAAGTAATAACTGAATTAATAATGTAGTTCCAACTAGTAGTAAATAGTAACAATCAATCTTCCGTTTGTATGTTATTTTTAAATTTTTTTAGCCAAAGTGAATTTGGTTATAAAATATATAGTTTATGATAGACTTTATAGTCGTACTGATCACTGATATAGATAGGAATTTCTTGAACTATTACATAATGAATTCAGTAAACTTATAACCATTTGTTTAATCTAATGATTAATCATAGTTATGAGACAGGATAGAATAAATTGTTATGTTGCCGTCTATTCATTATGAATGGTTGGATAGTTTAAGAATGTCATGATTGATATAAATTGTGGAACTACTAGGCAAAATAAATTGGCTTATATGGTTGGTTGGATAGGTTTTCTAGACAGTTTAGACATCAGTTTTAAGAGTGTAGAGTTTATGAGATCACAGATGCAGCGAAAATGAAGCTGAGATAATCTAAATGAAATACAGGTGAAGTCTTTCATTTCCGCTAATGTGTTACATTTATTAGGGCAATTAATATTCGCAAAATAAGTCCATTATAACCCTTCACATAGTGACTCATCTCTCTTAATTATCTTTATACAAAGAGGACTCAACTACATAACCTAAACGGTTTTGTTCAAGAACATTAATTCATCACTAACAATACTCATTTAATAATCTAAGAGTCTAAAAGTGAGTGATACATATGTCTTACGAGGCCGGTTACTTGCTTTTATTTAAATCAGTAAGATTTTTAACCTAAATAGCACCCCAGTTATAGTAAGTCACTATTCTGTGCCAAAAGATATTTAAATCTAAATTTGTAAAACCTCTGTTGGGATCAAATAAAAAGAGTTTATATCTATAGGAGAAATGTAAATATTTTATCTTTAATTGATGTGTCAGAATGTTTAAGTTCATTAACCAGTGGTATGGTGACTATGTACCTTGAGTAATAATTGTAGTTAGCTCAACAGTTAAAGGTTACTTTCTGTATGAGTAAACTTTAACCCAACTAGTTTCTGCTACTTAAGTTTAAAATGTATAAAAATTAATAAAATGACTGTGACCAATTACTAGGTATAAGTTTTATTATTCCCTAATCAAAACAAAGTAAATTTGTAAGGTTTATAATAGTTCATTATTTAACTGGTAAGAATATCATTCATTATTTGTAACCAATGTTTATTATGGCTATCTTCTTTCCTAATACTATTCATACCTATTAAACACTAATTAAATAATGAGTGACTTTTGTAAGAAACATAGTGGACACATTACAAACATTCAGTAAGTAGTTTGTAATCACTTAATGAAACAGTCATTGTAAAACTAATCCAAATTATATGAACTGTATATAATTGTGTTTTTTCTCGAAAGCCGAGTTCGTTAAAAGTTTATCTAAACAAAATAGGATGACAGATCATGATACATCATCGCCTTTTATCAATTTGAGCTGAAAATCAGCAAATATTTGGAAGATTTTAAGTCAGAGTTAATAATTACACAACTAATTGAAACTGCCTGTGATATTTTTGTACAGTCTTCATAAAAATACAACTACATTTTTGATATCATAATGAGTCAGTCATAACAATCTGAGCAACCGTTTCTCAAATAAAACCACAATGAGAATTTGTAAATGATTTCAATCTATTTGTGTTGCCTCTATTTTTAACTGTAAAACGTTTAAATACTAGAGTGAACATAAATTGCTCACATAGAAATATATCCATTTTATTTTATCGCAGCAAGAAATAGAAGTACATGGATTCAATTTATCAACCATCTATTACCACTTAAGGACTGTTTTGATTTAATTAATTACATGACGTTCCAATTGGAAAATGCATACCTTAATCGATGAAAAATTACTGTTTACATTTGACTATCACTTGCAATCTTATAGGCCAGGCAATTGTATGTATACACCAACATAATGAATAGTAATATTTACCACTCAAATAAACGTTATGAGATCTAACTAATACGTTTGCATTTGATTGATACCATGAATTAATGAATTTTAGACCACTATTGATAACCTGGAAGCACTGGACAGCCATTTCGTCCTTGTGTGAGACATCCACGATCCCACACGCGAGGTTCGAACCCAAGGCCTTCGGTTTCGTGCGCGACCATCATCCATTATCATCGGTGGGTAACTATCTCACACAGGACACGGATTAGCTCCGCTGCTTTGTTACAGATAAATTCAAAGTATCATTTTTGTTTACAAAGTAGACGTTAATAAGTAAAAGCTGAAGTTTAAATGTTGTACACTGATTGTAAACAATATAAACTTGAGAAAATTTCTATATACTAAGTAGTTTATTTTCCGAAATAAACTGCCATACCGGACACTTAACAAAAACTATGTTTAAATATGAAACAAAACTTACAGAATTCAGGAATTTATTGTCCACTTAGATTCTACAATAATGAGTACATATGCAAAAAACAATTTTGAGATATTTTATGCAACTGTTTAAATGAAATAAAAGTTTTTGTGTGTTCTTATTTTCGTTCACTTACCTATTAACTTTCGTATCGTAAAGAGAAAACCAAAATTTATGTGCAAAATACAATGAAGTATACAAAGCGAAGAGTCAAGACAAGAAATCAACATTAGATAGCCGAATTGAATCATAAAGAAGCTTTGTATTTATGTCCAAGACTTATTAATACACAAACTTCTTTCTTATGAGTTCAAACCTATCTCACATAGTATGACACTCACCGATGTTGCCATTGGTTTATTTAGGTACTGACTGAATATTTAAAGAACTGATTCACTTATAGCACTTGACCACTGAGTAGTAACTTATCTAATATTATCTACTCCTTATTACAGGTTGAAAGTAAATGAAGATACTCTAATTTTTTAAGGACATTGGTTAGTGTGAACTAGTACCAAACGTAAGCCAGAAGATTCCTGTTCATTGCTTTCAGCTATCTATCATCACACAAGTACATACTGTTATAAACTCCTTTAATTCAATTACTACACTATGTGTTTTTTCGATAGAAAGTAGGTTAAATTATGAACCAGAACAGATAACATTAGTTACTTCTTGGTTCATGCTCATTTGAATTCATAACTGTTAATTTATTTATAGCGTGTTTAAATAACTCCGCTTGCTATGTAGCTATCAAGTGGTGGGTTGGAACTCTTTAATATCTCAGAAAACAGGATCTTCGGTTCAATTGTTTTCATCATTTCAGAAGCCTACATTAACGTATCTGGCCAAAAGTGGATGATATCACTAGATTTTACCCCAGTCTTAACAAATGTTTCTTTCTTAGAGATTTTTTGCTCCTTATACATATATATCTTGAAAATAGTAACATCAGTATCATTATGTATTTTCAATGTACAATCGAGGTGTAAAAGTGTGTTCAACAGACAAACCATTGACGGTGCGATGGAATCTTTACTAAATTCTATTTTAAAAATGTTTCGTGGCTGATTTATCTAGTCGTTAACAACTAATAGTTTTTATTTGTACGAGAAATATATGGATAACACCATCATCTAATATCTTACTAGAAAGAGAACGTACTAGAAACCCACACAAGTTTAGTGTATACCACTAGAAGACTACATTCACAGAGGAGTCACAGGTAAATACAGAATTCCGCTTCTTCGATACTTTGGAGAAACGAAGACCAGACTGCTCTTGACAAAATTTAATGTATAGAAGAACAGCCTGACATGAACAATATATGAATTTTGAAAGTTGGGTTCTGTTTAAAAGAAGAAAGCTTCCATAGTCTCTAACCTGTAAGGATGATGGCGGCTAGCAGTGGGATCCAGGATGTGTCTTTCATCTCATTTGAGACTCGTCAGCTGGATGTATTTGTATCTCATAATTCTGGCGTGGACATCAACTCTGAAATACAGGAAGATCTAGTCCACGAGTCCTGAATGGGACGAAATTCGCGTCTTGAATTTCACTGCTAGCCACCATCATCTCAGCTTATAATGCTTGTGACTTGAGGCAATATTGAAGCAATCCGTACAGGATGCACATATATCAATAAGAGACTGGTCAGTTGCAGTCCTAAACATCAATGGGAAGATTCAAGCAACCAATAAAAAAGTGAACTAACCTGTAGATCTAGAAGACTCTGTTTAAAATATAGTCGGAAAAGAATTGAATAAAACTAACAAATGCATATGGCAAATAGCTTTACTACCAGACTTATTAACAGTAACCCGAAACTAACACTTCAATTAAAAAGAGCCCTTGCAGTACGGAATATGTTTCTGCGGAGATCTAAAAAAGCCAGCTATCGAAATCAATGGGCTATGGATTGTATTCTGCAGTAGATATCCGATCTTAGGATCTGTCAGCGATAAACTGCTGCCTCGGGTAACCTTATTGTTCACCTAATGGTTTATTTGATTCTGCGAGGTTAGTTATATTTTCTGTTCAAATCATGTTCTTTCCAGAAATATATCCAAACACTACCCAAAAGGCTAATCTTCAGATGAATGTGAATCAGTCAATGATTCTTTTACTGAATATCTGGTCATTTCTATTCATCTATCTACACAATAACCCTCGTTTAAGATTATCCACAACGTCGAATGAACGGGCTCTAATGAAAGTTGAATAAGAAATTCATCTTTAGCAAGGGCTTTGTAAACTCACCAATACATACCTGATCTTCGTATTCAGAAAAGAACATAAATACTTCTCTATATAACCATCGCCTAAACACTCCTGCCATTCTTATAGTCTGTTTTCGACACTTCTTCATCCCTTCTTTATTTTCGTTAAATTGGCTAAGTCGATACTTACCAGACATATCATCCTACTTGTCAATTTTATTTTATCTATTTCTCATTATCCTTTAACTGTTTTGTAAGTTATATTCAACGCCTGAAATTTTTCATTTGAATTATCATTAGCTTATTACATAACTTACTACATAATTCAATAGGCACCAATTTGTTTGTTTCTCATTTTCTTTTTATATAACAAGAACTCATTTTACATTAATTATTTTATTTTGTTTCATTTATCTGTAGAGGAATCTGGCTTACAAGAAGAAGCTTGGTGTTCAGTCTTGAATACACATTGTCCACGATTATTTGTATGGAGAGTTGAGGTATGTCATAGTTTGGCTGATTATATTTTAATTTAATATTGATCTTCATCTATTTGTTTATTTTTAATTTTATTTATGTTTAAAAATAACTCCTACTTGAGATGCTGATTAAAAAAAACCCAGAATGATGTGTATGTTCAGAGATTATAGTTGTGTTTTCGATGAAATGTTATTTTCATGTGTAGTGTCAATACTTTAAAACTGCTGTTACCGATAGAATTTTCGGTAACTATATAGATCCTATATGTTTCGGAAAGATTATTGAGACTTAAATGATGAGATGGAATAAACTACAAATTGCTTCGAACACATTCATTTCATAATTACAGTTGACATTTAGCCGTTTTTATTTGTATAGATGTGTAAAGTTGGTGTTTTATATTGTTACTTTGGAGATTACAAAAGCATTATTCCTATCTACTATGTTTAAACATATTATTCAGTATGGATTACAAAATTACATGTTCATTTTAGCAATCATGCAGTGCCATTCAGTTACTAGAATTTGGTTGGCATAGATTAGGGTGTGATACTGATTAATTGGTAGTAGCTCAAATAAACAGATCCTAACCAGATTGAATAAACACTTTGGTTAAAAATTTATTGTTGGTATTTTCTTAGAAAACGTATATTAGAAATAAGTTATAAATTTAAGAAGTACCGTAAATATCCAGTTAGGTTAATTTTATTTCAGGTGTTTAATCTAAAAATGGAACACAGAGGAGTTACATGGAGTATAAAAGTTCATAGTTTGATATTCGAATTCAGTTTACTGCTGAAAAGTATTCCAAAAATAATTATTTTATGATCGAATCTATTAACAAAATGGTTATATTAAGTTGTGCATATAAACTCTCAATAATTTGGTTTCTAGTCTGAATTAACTAATGACAGAGATTCACTAATTCAAATTAAAGACAATGAAAATGATTTAATTTAAGGCGTTGGATGTAAATTGGTTAGAGACAGTCAACAAGAAACCTCAAACCAGGGCTTCAGGTTATTTTGATACTCGTCTTCAAGGTTCATCTATACTCAAGGGGGGCACTGATCCTGTATCACCTTGCTGACGAGTGTTAAAATAATACAAAATCTAAATCCACGGTTTTATATTGATTACTTTCAGTTGCCTAAAATCTCAATATAGTGTGTGCTACGTTGAGTTATTAAGACTAGTGGCAGCATTAAAACCTAATCGATAAAAGTCGATCAGCACTAAAAGGGCTAGCCAAATATGTTATTAGTTACCACTTAATGATCAACCAGTGGTACAACGCTACATATTTGTAATAGAAACTTTTATTCACTTTACCTAACTCATCAATAAATAGATTTTTTATTATTTCAATTCTAGAAATTTAAAATTAGACCAGTTAATGAAAATGATTATGGTCATTTCTTCAACGGTGATTCATATATTGTTTTGAATATATATTCAAAAGGTAGAGGACTTGGTTATGATGTACATTCTTGGGTTGGATCGAAAAGTACTCCGGTAAGTTAATATTAAAAAGAAAAAATTATTCGAACATTCATTTTTATTACTTTTTTATTAATTCTTTAACAATTTTTCGTTCTAAAATTTCAACAGTGAGCTTAAACTACTCCTGGAGTTCTAGTGAGAAGCCGTTACCAGTGGAGTTCAACCAGGTCTGTCGTGAGATATTAGTTCACTGATAACAATGGTGTACGGTGGCGCACCTTCGTGGATTGGTTGAAGTTAGACATTAACACCGTTGGATGTCAGCTCAGTGGTCTGGTTGGTTAAGCGCTTGGTGCGAGATTGATAGGTCCTGGGTTCGAATCTCGCGGGGGGCGGGATCGTGTATGCGCACTGCTGAGAAGTCCCATACTAGGACGAAACGGCCGATCAGTGCTTCCAGGTTTTCCATGGTGGTCTAGCTTCAATTGACTTATGATTTCAATCAGTGATAATTCATTAATCATTGAAAAACATAAAACTTATTCTTCTATAAATGTGTAAATGTGTGTAAAGTTTATTCATATAAAGTACATATCGTATGACAAAACAATAAATATTTATATAGAATTCATAATTAAATGGTATGATTTATTGATTTGTTTTTAGCTGTGCTTTTTTTAATCGGTTAGTAAATGTTAATTAATTATGATAGACGTGTAACTGTACTGAAATGTAACTCAATTGATCCGTATCATTGAAATTACTATTTACAAAATAAAATATTTTGTAAATACTTTTTAATGTTCTTAAAGATAGACAATTTAGTATATTCACATTTTTATGAGATTTGGTTCATTTCGTCATATACATAAACTAAATAGTATAATTTTGAATTATAACAAGATATTTATTTAACGAAATAAATTAACCCAGTTATATAGTAGTTTAGAATCATAACCAGTTGTTACAAACAGTAATCTAAATCAAGTAAGTTTATATTCATTAGAGAAATTAGAAAGTTGAAAGTTATTTATAGTATACTTTTATGGGCCAGGGTAATTTTACATTGGTTTTCAGAAGAACCAGATATCACCCAGGCTTTCATATGACAACCTAAACAGTACAGATCAATCCCGTTTAACAGGAGAACCAGAACATGTGTAGGCTTTAACATGGTGGAGAAGATTTGTAGCTCAGGTGGATGATTTTGGTAGAGTTTTGTTCTCTGTTCTGTTCTCAGAGAACAAAACTCCACCAAAATAGGCTTTAACGCTACAATCTGAATAGTACAGCTCAATCCTGTGGCGCAACCACATAGGTACTAAGCACCCTGGTGGACCATTAGCACCATTTATATACACGTTCACGTCACATATTTAATTATTCTGATCAATGATCGCATGAATCAGTCATGCACAGAACGAACAGGCCAAAATTGACCTATTCCGCTTATATGACAGTCAAACTCATTAATGTTAAAAATGGCGACAGGCTTTACAATGTTCCAATGATAATAGCCCTTGAGAACACTGAAAAGCAACCACCAGTATGAATGATATCGGTTAACCAGCAAACCAATTTTGAGCATGAACAGTCAGCAAAACGTGCCAAAGTAATACCGAACTATCCACAATATTAATGGCGAACCTCCAGTCTCATATGGGACCTCCAGCTCTACATAGTAATATTATATATATTATATAACCGAAAGTTATTTATTCATTCTTCAACCTCTTCAAAAGTTATAGTGAAAGTAGAATAACTAAAATTTATCGAATATGATAACAAACAAAAAAATTAACCATTTTTCATTTGCTTGTGTATTGCATTAAACAGAGATTGTAGTGAGCAAATATAAAGGCTTCTTCTGCTCATGGTGAAACTATTATTATTCAGTGATCGATGACTAGAGGTACATGAAAATTAATATATTCTCTTTGCCCTCTAGAATGATCTCCAACTCAATAACAATTAAAAAACATACATAAGAGCTTTCTAGATTATTTAAAGATTTTTAAGCTCATTTCATAGAAAAAACAAGCCACGTAATTAATTACAAAACATGAAAAGTCTATTTTAAAATAAATAAATAACGGTCAAATCAGATCATAAACACTTAGTCATCATCAGGGGGGGGTTGTGGAGATTTTAGTAATTCAATAGTTGAATTCCTGAGTCCAGTGAAGCTAAACCACCATGGAAAACCTGGAAACACTGGACGGCCACTTCGCCCTAGCATAAGACTCCTCTGCAGTGCTCATCACATTACTCAGTAATGTGATCCCGCCCCACGGGATTCGAACCCAGGACTTATCGGTCTCGCGCACGAACATTTAACCTCTAGACCACTGAGCTGGCATTCAACGGTGTTAAAGTATAACTTCAAACAATCCACAAAATTGCACCACCGTCCAACATTGTCTTCAGTGAGTTACTATCTCATAACAGACCCAGTTGAACTCCATTGGCCACGGCTGCTCACTAGAACTTTAGGAAATACCTCTTAAAGCCAGCCACTAGTGAGTAGATGATAATTATTATCAGAATATTTATGTTACTTGATTCTAACCTTTATTCTACTATTATATGTGAAAACAATCTAAACATAAACTGAGAATAATTCCAATGACCAACCATCGATGCATATTCTTTACACTAATTAGAAAGATAATTATGTATATATGAAAACTAAGTATATATAAACTAATTATCCTGAGTACTGTAGACTTATATTTCCTGTGAATTTAGTTTATCCATTTCCGAGTACGAGTCCAACAAAATGGTTTCAATTTAGACATTCGGTAGACAACTATGGCTCCAAAAATTGATTACTAACATGATTTTGGAAATAGTTCGTCGAAATAAACAGTTTGAGGACTTTAAGAATAAACGGAGACATTAGTCCGTTTTATAACTTCATATCGTATGTTTAAGAACTCTTCGTGTTGTATATGAAAGTTTTGAATTTAATTCTGAATAATTTACTCTTTAGCTTGCGAACCGTTTTACTAGTGTGGAAGTAAAGGTCTGTTAATATTATCTGAATGTTTATATCATAAACCTCTCAGGGGTTTAGTGAAATCCTATATTAGATAGAGTGACTGTCGTTTACTTGTCAGTTTGAAACAGATATCATGGTAGCTAACTCTAAACACTTAGAACTCACAAAATAATGACCGATAAATATCTTACATTGTACCATCAAGTTTAAATTATAAAAGACTATTGGATCCTATCCATTTATATACAAACTCAAACCAGTTTCACAGCAAATATACATTTACACGATGTATAATGAATTAGGATTAAATATTTATTCAATAATGAAAATTCTATAAGTTCTTGTTTGCTATTGTCATAACTATAAAAATCCCATTGTATTTACACAGGAAGAATATACTACAGCTGTTTATAAGACAGTGGAACTCGATGCTGTACTTGATAACCAGGCTGTTCAACATCGTGAAGTTGAACAATATGAATCATGCTTATTCAAATCCTACTTTTCATGTTTCCGGTAAGTTACAGATTCTCATATTTTTGATAATTAAATTTCAAATTCTAGTATTAGACTGGAATAAATTATAGTCGTAGGGTAATGAGTTCCATTAATTTACAAGTTCATGTAATGGATACAAGTGATAGTAGTTAACATATACAGTTGTTAACCCTTATTAAACTACCTTCATCAAAATATGAGTATAAATACTTGATGTTTTTCTTTGAATTCAATATTAAAGTTTCTAGTAATCATGCTGAACTACTTTCTTAGTAACATGCATATTTCATACAAAATCTCTTTTATCAGTTTTAAAATGGTTACGGAAAGAAAAAAGAAAGACATCTGTTTAGTTGATTATTTTAGTTTATGAACAATCAACAATGTAGTTTAGAAATTATGATTCATTCAACTGTGAAGCTGTTTACTTTAAAGATAGTTTTTCACACATACTTTTTTTAATTTCACATATCAGTCATGAAAAACTATGAGCCCTAGTTTTATAAAATGATTGAAAATCGATTTCGGTGCTAATATGATTTTTCTGAAATCAATGTGTTTATTCCTTCAGCTGTGGACTTTCAGAATACAACATTAGACAATGTAAGATGATTGCACAATATCATGAACTGATTTAAGTTTAAAATATGCATTAATAAATTCCGGCTCACTTGTCTAGAGGCTCGCATGTGAGACCGAAGGTCATGAGTTAGATTTCTTGTGGTTGGGTAATGGATGCACACTGTTGAGAAGTCCCATACTGGGATGAAACAGATGTTCAGTGCTTCCTAGTTTTCAATAAATCTTTACCATAGATCTGTTTGGTATACCAATAATACTAGGAAATGTGTTGTCTTTTTATAAATGATCTATTCTGTGAAAATATCTGTTGATCAACACCTTGTATGAAGCAAAGTAAAACTAATGTAAATTATAATACATGGGTTAATTTCTTTTAACAATATTTTTATCTGCTCACAATAAAATGCTTCTAAGTACACTCCTAAAGTCACTATTGATTGGTCACTTGGTGATGATCAATGTCATGTGTGTCAGATCGAATGCTATAGACCATCTTATACTCGTAAAGTTAATTTTTTGTAAAGGGAGCATTTTTCGGGGATTTTTTTTCTACATAGAATGAATGACGTTTAGATTACCTTTATTATTTTCACTTTAATTAATCCTTTTTTAGTATGATCGCGTTACTGTATTCTCATTATATATATATATATATATATATATAATAGATTCTATTAACTTATGTAGACTCTTTAAGTCCTGTAACCCATCTTATGAGTTTATAAATTCCTGAAATCGTATGCAAACTTTTAATAACCTCTAAAATTGTTACACAATTTATCTTATCTGTCTCTGAACGTCACTTAATTCATGCATCATCCACCCCTTATATTTTTGGATTTCAACACCAAATTACCTCCGACCTGTTTCTGTGCATATATATATAGTTATTCTTGATAAATTTTGTTATCCCAATTCTTTTCATTCTTTTATGTAGTGTTTTACACTATATCTTACCTCAATGTAAACTTTCAATACATATATGGTTGTAAACAGCTAACGAGAAATCACGAAATATAATGAATTCATATTATTCTGCATCTATGTTTCTTCTGTTATTATTTGAAATTTAATTTGTTAGGTAAAAGTTACGTTGATTTAAAGAAAATAAACAGTGTATCATTGTGAAATAGCTGTAATACATAGTGTTAACAAACTAAAGAACACCAAAACACGACTGCATAATATATCATCAATGTACACTTGTATCAAATTATACTGATCCATTAGAACGAATGTCATTTTTCTTTTTATATAATTAAATGAATGGTGAATTAAATTCACTTGGTATTGCTTACTTGAATCTTCCCATCGGTGTTTAGGACTGCATAAGCAAGTGGCTATCACGACTCAGTAGTTAAGTGGATAACGCGATGGCGTTTGAAGTGAACGGTCCCAGAGTGAATATCAACTGTGAGATGCAGGTTCATCCAGCTGGCGAGTCCCAAATAGGACAAAATACGCATCCTGGATTCCACTGCTAGCCACTATCGATGTTTTCTTAAAATGGTATATTAATGATGAAAATGTATGAACTTGGTGTTAGAAAATATTCTCTCTTATAAAAGGAAACATTTCAAAATCTAATCTTTAGAGTGAATGAGTTTAAAAATTAGTTATTTTTAGTATTTTCAATCTTTCTAATTACAAATTGGGCTATTTTATTACATCAACCATTCTAGTGTGAATCAATATGAAGCTTTGTCTGTCAAAATTGTTAATCTTTTTTTTCTGTCCAACCAGTAAGTAACCAACAATCTCATAAGGTGAAATATAAATTTTTGTCATTTTCAAATTGAACTACTTTTCATTAATGAAAGCGATAACTTAATGTTAGTGAGTTTTTGCTAAATAACAATTATTCGAATCATTATGAAATTAAAATACCCTTTAAGCGTAACAGTATGCAAATTATTTAAGCTATAAGCTTATTATTAAGTCATTGATTCGTTGTAGCATACTGAACGGTGGCATTGACTCTGGTTTCCGTCGAACAACTCCAAATGAATATCAGCCAAGATTGTTGCATTTCCATCAAGAGGGCAGAGGACGATTTCAGGTACAGGAGGTGGATCTTTCGATCAATTCATTAGATTCTACTGACGTTTTTATTCTTGATCTTGGTTCAAAACTATATCAGTGGAACGGATCGAAAAGTAATAAAGAGAAGCGTTATAATGTAAGTTTTAACCAATTATAAGTAACATCTTGGTAATATACATCTTTTACGTATACGTATTCCTGAAGATCACGGGGTGTTGAGTTCTGTTAAAATAATATATATATATATATATATATATATATATATATATATATATATATATATATATATATGAATCAGAGCAATGTGGTATTGCGTAACAGTTAAGACCAATAAAGTATGATCAAGACACTCCATAATTACTTGACATATGCTAGAAGATAGGTATCCAGTTCAACCATTACTACCTCTGGACTGAGGGATCGTAATCATTCCCGAAAATAACTACTCACTTATAGAGGAAAATGCAAAAATACCAGAACAAAAACAATTAATTTGCTGATTGTGTACAATAATACACACATGTGCCGCTTAAAAAATCACAAATCGTGTTTAAATGACGAAAAAAATGGATAAAGTTAAGAAATAAGATAGTTAACACATCAATGAGGGTTCAGTGCTATTTCAACCGAGTTATCATTTGTAAAATTATAAAAGATTTTGAATGACACATTTTTGTGTGTTGTTCCATTTTAACTTTGTAGTTAACATAACACTTACTCTAAACATAAGTCAATCAAATAAACTTTGATATTTAACTAAAACATATAATATAGTAATAAGTAATTTAAAGTAATATACAAATAATTTCTATTCACTCGTTTTCATTGTTTTATTTAGGCTGCTCAATTCTTACTACAAGTCAGTAGTGAACGTAATGGACGTTGTAAAACTGCTGTATTGGATGAATTGTTTACAAATAGCGGAGTGAGTTTTTTCTGCTTCATTAGTTTTACAGTGTCATAAAACAGGACTTTTCAGGTTTCTTTCCTTTACCGGGGTTTTGTTATTTACAACTAGACTGATATACGGTTAACCTAAGTTAAGTTCTGATGAAATTTATACCACAAAATATTTCATTCTGAAAAGATAATTCTATAGGAATATTTAAAATGATTACTTTCCACTAGTAAATGTTTTTAAGTATTTAAATCTATTTAAACTATTTATGATACTTAAAAGTAGTATCAAATTACATAAATTCAAAATTCATATCAAACTATACTTATTGAGCACATAACAATAAAAAATATATTTTAAAATTAAAGTGATAATAATGACAAATCATATTTTATTAAATAAGACGTCTTTTATATTGTTCCATCACTTTCAAAATATGTTATATTTGTTTCTTGAATGAATTACTATTCCAGGATGAATTCTTGCATTATTTACCAGATAAACCAGTTCACAGATCTAAAAAGTACTGTGAATCAACAAAATGTATTTACAAGTTAGTTGAAGTTTTATCATATTCAAGTATTTACATCTTGTTTATGCACATTATTCTCTCATTAATTTATTTATTGGAATAACTTTCGAGATAATTTCTTGAAATAGTTCATGATGATCATGAAATTTTTCATGGTTCTTTTTTTTCTTGAAGTCAATAAAAGTAGTCATTACTAAATTGATGTTTGAACAAAATTAAAACAACCACTGAGGCGCAATAATATAATTATATTTGTTTTGACTTTATTCGTATTCACAAAGGGAACCAGTTGCATGAAATTGATGTTTAGCTATATTAGGAGTATGATAAGTAAATTTATATATCAAGTGATATTCATAGAACTTATCCAACACGCATAACAAGAAAAAAGATCTGGTGAAATAACCATCGTCTATTATACTTCACTTTCATTTATGATAAAACTTCATTCTACTTTACCGAATTTTCATACATTTGGCAGTGCATAGAATTCCATTTACGTTGACCTCTCACCTCAGTCAAAACAGCAGAAGGTCAAATTAGTAATTGCATATATTTCTTAATTTTAAATCCCGGTCATGAGATTATGTATATGAATTCTACGATAGTTACCTATTGAAATTCAAACGTTCCAGTAAGTCCACATACGGAATTTAGCTGGGTATTTGTGGTTAATAAACTGTAGGTTTGTTCAGCAAGTAAAATGAAGACGTAGTAAATGAGTCAAAAGAAAGTTTACAATTTAAGTTATGTAAAACTGTCATATTAGTATGTCAATGAGTTGAATGGGAGCATAATTTAGGTGGCTATTACATCAAACCTAGGACGTCAAAGTTATGCAAAGTTTACTTTTGCATATGATTACAAATAGAAGTGTTTACAACCAACTGGTTTAAATAGGACAGATGTTTAAAGCTTTGTACTTTGAGAGTTCTGATATGTCGTAAGCAAATATTCAGCTACTGAGAACTGATGATAGCTGGTCAGTGAATTCGGAATAATCAAATAATGTATCAATGACCCACTAACTTGATTAGAGTAGCCTTCTATGTATAGTTTTAATATAGACAGGTTTTATATTCATTGCTTATGTTTGTAAATTAATTAGTGTCACTATGACTACTTCGTAGACGTCAAACTTATTTCTCTCAATACAAGTTTATATGCATGATTTAAGGCTTTGAAATATGTTGTTGATGTAGTTCATGATACAGTTTACCTGTCTGCAAAACAAAAAGTTTACTTTCAATTAGTCAATGAAATCTGACGATCAGAAGTTAAACTGTTTGAACCAAATGATATAAATAATAAATTTTTATTGTCATTTTGATAGACTTAAGAAAATAGTGTATATGATTTCCAGCTTAAAAATTTTTAAAAGCCTGGCTCATTGGCATTTAAATCTTTAAACTGAGGACATTTTTTCAGTGCCACGAACCAGTGAAAACTATGTCTATACACTTCTCTTTTTTACTGACAGGCTATCTGATGAAGACGGTAATCTATCATTTGATTTAGTTGTGAAAAACCATTTACCTAAAAGAGCGGTTAATGAAGATGAGGTCTTTCTCGTTGATGCAGGATATCATCTCTTTATTTACATTGGAAGTAAATGTTTACTATGTGAAAAGCAAAATGCTTTATCATATGCACATGTAAGACAATTAGTTTTTGTATTAATTATAATCATGTGAAGTATACCAATCTATCAACCTTATTCGTAGTTATAATTTACAGAATTCTATTTTATGAATATAATATTGAACAAGTAACATATAGAATAGAGATAATCTTTGATTATCTATATGCTATTTGTTTTTAAATAACACAATCTTTTTGTTATAGTCATCTCCAGTTATTTATTATTTTCTATTATGGGAATTCATATTTAGTGTATATTGATTCGATGTTGTATATTTTTAATGGACTGAATTAGATCATACATGAATATGAACACTATTTCAGGGGACATGAAATAGAATTGCATCATATCGATCAGATGGTGGTTGCAGGTAGTCAACAGGGAACCCTGGACCCGGGTTTCGTGCTACTTGGCACTCGTCAGCAAGATGTACCCGTAATCTTGAGGGAACTGGTGCTCCTTGACAGATTTGATCTCATGACACCCAGCTTCACAGTCAGAGACATTATCACTGAGCTATCCGGGCCACGACCGACTTCAACGTGATCGATAGCTTTCGATCTGCACTAAGAAGGACTTGAGACACATGACATTGATCACCACTAAGTGATCAATCAATTGTGATCATACCAATCTTTAAATAAAATTAAGTTAATTTTCATCAAATAATATCAGTTGAAAAATAACAAATGATTGCTCTGACTTTGTAAAAATTATTTCCAAGTTATATTTATGGTTCTTTAAGATTACTGGATTCATACTAAAACCTCAGCAAACACTTCTAGTCAACTAATTTCTCATTCTTTTTATTAATGAGTCAGTTATTACATTGACATTGTAAAGCTTAGAGTTAACTTATGTATTTATAATGAAAGAAAATTACATTGAAACAATATTTTGATGAGATGAAAACGGATTATTCATAATTATTCAACTGATAAGGTTCAACGTTTTGAAATTCATTTTCTTTATTCAATTAAAATGATTAAAACATTGTGCTTCTTTTTTTTTTCTTAAAAAAACAACCAGCATTATTTAAAAAGCACAAGACATCCATTCATTCCAGTCACTGTTATTGGTTCTAATCAAAGTTCAGATGAACTCGAACGAGCATGGGACAGAGATAGAGCTTCAAGTTATTTACAATAAATAAAAACAAACAAATATTTATTATATAACTGGATTTGTATGAAATTATTTCTTAATATTATTGATCAGAGCACACACACTTATACACACATACACACAGCAATCCATCACTGCATTATTGTTTTTATTCTTTGTAGTTAACTGAAGTAATATCTCTCTTTTTTTAAAAAAGAAATATAAATTTAATAATTACAGTGATTTAGCTGATATTAGCTTAACTTCAATTTTATATTTGATGTCAAACTATATCTTATTTTGTTTTTCACAAATAGTTTGTGCTCTAGATCACACGTTCTTTTATAAGTTCACGATGTTTATTCTTTTTTCTCTTTTCCAATAGTATCCATATATGGTCTTTTTAATAAACAAAAAAACAAACAAAAAAAACAAACTAATTTGGATACTGTTTTACTCTTTTCCATTAGTATAATACAATTTTTGACTATGTGTAAATTAATATGTTTGAATTAGCATTGGAAAGATATTAAACACTGATTAATACATTATTACACAATATATGATTAAGTAATGTTAAATTATAATTCATTTAATCAGCTTTTCTAACAGTTGGAGATTGATTATAATAGAGTGATTCAGATCGATCATAATATATAATTTAAATTAGTAAATGTTAATCAGTATAATGTATAATGTTTGATTACAGTTTTTAAATTACTTCTTGTCCAAAGATGGATAGTGGCTAGCGATCGAACACAGGATGCGTGTTTTGTCCTGTTTAGGACTCGTCAATTGGATGTATTTGCAAGCAAACAACAACAAGTGGAGTTTTACCTGTTATCCGTTTGATATTTAAATTACTGAAAAAAATGTATTCTAGCCTTATACATCATGAAGTGTTAGGTTATGTTACTGAAGGATTTCTGATGGTTAGCCTGTTCAACCGGTAATCTTATAGAGATTGATCACTTATAGTCTTCAAAATTAACGACAGAAAATTCCTAACTCTTATGTACGATCAACATGATCTTTAACTTTGTTATTATAAAGTGTGTACAATTTAAATGACCATTGTTTTGATAAAGTGATAATCTGTCATAAATAGCTTACACAATTCCCAAAACCGTGTAATGAAAGTTTATTGAGTAGCATCAAAGAATGTTTTTTATGATTGAGATTATGAACCGATTGATGTTAGACCACCATTGAAAACTTGGAAGCACTGGACGGCCGTTTCGTTCCACTATGGGACTCCTCAGCAGTGCCTATCCACCATCCCGCTCGGGGGATTCGAATGTTCTTTAGTATACCATATGGCTATTTTAACACAGATAAATTGAATGACAAAAACTTTCATATCTTGAATATTTATGGTAATTTATCATAACATAGTTTTCTTCAAAATAATACAGTGAATTACACATAGAAATAAGTAAATACTTCTAGTTGTTTAGTTTTAAATTTCAAGTTATCTACTGTTATACATTAACAAATTGATATATTACCAGTAAATTGTAACGGAACAAATGAATAATTAACCGAGTTATCTGTACATAGAAGAGGTCGGATGTTATATTCAGTTGAAATTTGGAGTTGGAACGTTACATCAAAAACATTCTTGTTTATGTACCGATTTCTAGTGAAATTGGATATCTAAGTCATAGTGAGATCGATATGTGTTACATAAAACACTAAATTTTACAACCTAATTGACTGTTAGTGACCAACTTCAATCAACATTGGAGTAGTTAAAAATTCATTGTAACTATGTATATTTATATTCTGTAGGTCTACAAATACAAAAATATTTAAATCAATCAATCATCAACTCATGAGTTTATCTAATCCATAACAAGGATTGAATACTATAGACCAACTAGGATAGGACTATTAATTTGAGAGAGTTGATATCACTTTCATTATACTTGAAGACAATCGTTTTTAAACTGTTTAGTGTTCAAAGATATTCTCTAAGCAAAACAAAACGCCAAAAATAATATTTTCAAGAAAAGAGGTTAGAATGAAAATAATGCTACTGACATATACCACATAAAACAGTAATCCTACCAAGTACAGTCGATTAATATATTATTTAATCAAGTCAAATTTAATGCAATCTGAATAACAAAACCATTGTTCAAAAGTTGTTAACAAATCTACATCCTGATGGTCATTCATAATATCATGGCTTAATATTGACATTTGAAAATTAATTCACAAATTCTTTGCTTCATTTTAATCTTTTATCCAAAACTATCTTTTGTAATCATTGATAAAAAGTATGATTATATATATATACTACTTGAATTCATAAGTCAGTTGAAGGTAGACCACCATGGAAAACCTGGAAGCACTGGACGACCATTTCGTCTTAGTATGGGATTCTTCAGTAGCGTGCACTCACGAACCCATCCCTCGAGATTCGAGTTCAGAAACTATTTGTCTCGTGGACGGTGGCGCAATTTCGTGGATTGGTTGAAGTTTTATATATTAGCACCGTTGGATGCCAACTCAGTGGTCTAGAGGTTAAGGGTTCACGTGCGAGATCATTAGATCCTGGGTTCAAATCTTGCGAATCATGATCATGGATGCGCACTACTGACGAATCCTATACTAAGACGAAACGGCCATCCAGTGCTCACGGGTTTTCTGTGGTACTCTATGTATCTATCTATATAAACCAAGTATTTATTTTAGTTTATTTTAAATGAATCAACCGAATAAATTCTATTAGAATAAACAATCTTTTTTTATTCAATATTATAATAATATTAGAGATTACAATCGTACGTTTTATAATTAATTAATGATGAATCAACAACAAGAAAAAACATAATAAGTAATAGTCATTATCAAAGTATTTCTAATTAGTACTGAAATGCTTATAATGATTATAATTTCTAAAAGGATCTTGTTTATTTTATTATTTTGTTTTAATTATTCTATATTAAAATGATAAATAAATTAGTGAATTTAATTTAAAATAAACACGTTTTCTTTTATTCGCATATTGTGTTTGTTTGTTTTTTTGAAAAAAATTAACTCCGGTTCTTTCTTATAGTTTGTTGTGTTGCTGTGTAACAATAAATTTATTTTATCGTATCACTTCTTTTTCTTAAAAAAAATAAGAAAAATCGTAAAAATGTCGGTAAAATGTGTAGTTAGTTGCCGAGGTCCACTATCTTATTGTTTGTTAAAAAAATATTAATCATTAAATTGTATGATAAAGTGAGAAATGTATATAATTATAGAAAATCATGTGTTTTATCACCTTGTATATATATAGACTGTTTAGCTAACTAATTCATATATATAAGGTTATACTTTGATTTATTTTGATAATTGCTAATTGATTTCGTCAATTTGTCATTATTATAAATTGTACTACAAATTGATTGTAGTTAGACAACTAAGAAACACTTGATAGCCATTTCGTCTTAGTATAGGACTGTCATGCAGTGCGGATCAACGACTTCATCGAGATCAGAGAGAATACTTGACTTTTAAGTTACTGAGCTGAGATCTAGTGGTATTGTTCTGCTATATACTCCATTATTTATTAGAGGATTAAAATATTTAAAGACCTATGTCTATAATTTCTTTGTTTATTCTTTTATGTTTGCTAAATATAAATTGGTTAGACGTTTTAACGTGAATTTAATGAGATAATTTCCTGAAAATTACTCTAAAAAGTAATGTAATTCTTAACAACACTATTAGGTATTTTGAAATCAGCTAGAATGATTTAGTTTGTCATTTCCGTTGCCATTTTATTGGCTGAGTTGATAGAAAAAAGAGTTCTTTAAAATAGTAGTTTATTTAAGGTTTCAGCCGCATATATCTGTATCACAGAGTCCATTTTTAATTCTGAACTTGAGCTCAAAACCATTCACTTCAAACGCCATCGTGTTATGAAACTAGCTACTGAGTGAAGAAAGATATTGGTTTGGGCAATTAGTGCTTAGGACTGCAATCGATCCGTTTTCTTTCGATTATGTGTATGTTGTGAAAATTGCCTCAATATTACCATTAAGTCACAAAACGTTTTAAGCAGAGATGGATGGTCGCTAACAGTGGGATCCGGAACAACCATTTTGTCTGGTTCGTTTATCATTAAAAAATGATTTTTCATTGAGTGACGTTTTTTCTATAAAGCCATATCGCTAAGAAATTATTTATTTATGTAGACACATAAATACTGGTACAAAAAGGCACCAAATACATATGCGCCACACATTATTTGCTTTACGTGTGGGGTGTTATACTGCTCAGGTGCCCAAACCGAAGCACGTAGTTTTCTTAGGATGCCATACCCGAAGACTTCGACCCAAAGATCTGATCCAGAAGGCAATGGGGCAACGTTAGAAAATGAAGTCCCATGGTAGCCGGTGATCAACACCATTTGTTCTTTCAGGATACTAGAGCCTATGTACACCATTGGTTTGAAATCAGGGTTTTCCAACTCCTCTAGGTGGATCATCCATATCCGCCAATCCAGTAAAAGCGCCAGACATCCGCTTTTCATCTTCTCAATTTCGTAAACAACACCCCCGCCGCGAGACGTCAGTGAATAGGGCTTCCCTGACAGTGGCTGTATACGCGTGGCCATGTTAGAGCATTTCGATAGGGAAGGCGGACTCTCTCTGACCTTGGCCGTACTATCTTATCCTTGGTCTGATACTTTTGTGAAATGAAGATTGTATTGAACTTCTTCAGTATTAGGACCTAATAAGTGGGGTGCATTTTATTGTCAAACAATACATAGACATTCAGTAGTATAATTAACGACATAAAAAATTGTACTAAAGAATAAAAATAAAATTGTGATGCAAATCAATTGTATCTTAGATATTTTACAACTTATTTCGTTTAGCTACTTACCAACAAAATCACTGGACAACGTTTTGCTTATAACAATAATTTCTCTCATACTTTGTTGTTATTCTTAGTGGTATGACAGACAACCAACCATTCAGATGTATTCAATTTTTAGACCTATTGATTACAGTATTCACGATATATATATATTTGAGTACAGGTGGTTATTGTAAGAAATATCTTTCTTTATCTAATTAGTGTGGTGATAAAATTATAACTGACTGCTTTATTTCAATGGAGGAATATAATTGGAAAGATACTAATATGGCCTTATTCGGTTCCGATGAAGAAAGATCTATCAAAAGTAAATATGTAATTCAGTGATAGCTCATTTCTTTTAACAAAAATTATTATTATGTGAAATAAGTATGTCATTAAGTAAGTGACAAATATGTAAATAAAGTCACAATGGAAAGCATCAATCAAATAGTTAACTATCTAAACTCGATTTCTTATAAACCATAAGTTCATGTAGAATTGTAGATCTTTATTATGAATGACAGTTCAAAGTAAAACACTTAACGTTGAAATAATTATAGTCAAAATGCTTTAAGTTTCTGTATTGTTCCTCTTCACACATAACAGTAATATGAATTGATTTACCGCAATTATATTTTAGATGCTTAAGTGTTTGTTAATTCAAATAATTATGAGATGATCATATAATTAAAACAATCCATAGTGTCATTAAATAAGAAAAATAGAATTCAGCGAAGAAATTTTTTTCTCTTTTCGACAAAATCATTTACTTAAGCTATACATTCGTATATATAGTTCTATGGAAAATATATGTCTATAGAAGAATAGAAAAGATTACATCCTTACTCTTTGATAACTACTTAACCTCAATTGAGATTTAGTCTCGAATCCATTTATGATTCAATCTTTTCTATCCTTTTAAAGACATATATTCTCCATACAACTAGATATATGAATTTACAGCTTAAGTAAGTGATTTCTTCGAAAAGAGAAAAAACTTTTCTTTGCTAAATTCTCTTTTTCTTATTCAAGGAGATGATCATATAAAAAAGATCATATTTTTGAAATTTAGATTAATTATTGTTCTAATATTTATTTCTGTTGAATTTGCCTAACAAGTTAATATGTTCTATAGTTCTAAGATATAATATTATGTTCATTCGAAAAAAGGATTCAACTATTAACTTCCAGATTTTCCATGGTGATCTAGCTTCAATTGATTCATAATCTCAATTGCTGATATTAATTTAAGTGTAAACAATTACTTATTTACCATGTATATTAAATAATGTATATTTTAAAACTTTTGAAAATAAATATTAATTTATCTATAATGGTGTGAATGTAATTCTACATTTATGCATATGGACTATTTTATCAACATTCATTTATCACCATCCTACTGACTTTAATGACTCTGTCTTATAAAATACTACTTTAAGTATTTTCAGTATGTACTAGGATGAAACGATTGTTCAGTGTTTCCAGGTTTTACATAATGGTCTAGCTTTAATTGACTCATGAATTCAACTAATGAAATTACTACAATCTTCACAAAACCCCTCTCTATTAAAAATATGTGTTTAAAATAAATTGTTTATTGTTGTGTTCATTTTTTAAATTTAGAGGAAGCTGCTAAAACTGAAGAAGCATGGCAACAAATAAGACCAATTGGAAAATCAACACTTTTGGTTTGGAGAATAAACGTTAGTTTAAATCATTTTTTTTTCTTCCAAATTTCCAAACTAATTATATATAAATCTAAGGATTATAATAAACATCTACAATTATTAATGCCGGAAACTGAATGTTAATACATAATATAAGGTTTAAGAGAGATTTTAGTTTATTAAAGTTAAACGGTCCAGTTGTAAGTGTTTACTGAAAATGCTTAAAGTAGTATTTTATATGAAAACATCATTGAAGTCAGTAGGATGGTGATAAAACTGTAATCAACATAAATGTTGATGACAAGCGTAAAAGATTAAAAGTACTGGGAAGAAATTTTATGTTGTTAGTTGTGTGGATCAGTGAAATTTATCGGATAGCTGTAAAGTAAACATCCTATAGATACTAAACAATGAAGAAGTTTACTAATATAGATTCTTATTATATACAAGATATCAAGTCGAAACTGACCTTAAATAAATTTTATGGATGTTTGAGATCTCGGTAGACTCTATACTTTTTCTACGGTACCTCATTATAAGTAATTGTATGCATGTATGAAACACGATAAAGTGCACAACTTCCTAGATTCATATTTTGTAAATTTTCATTCTCATTGACTCAGAGCAGCTTTGTAAACACAGATGGATAGCGCCTAGAAGTGGAATCAGGGATGCGAGTTTCGTCTTATTGAGGACTCGTCGGCTGGATGTATCTGCATTCTAGGGTTGACGTTCACTCTAGTGGCAGCTTTTCTCGAAAATGCTTGTAAATCAACGGAAAAGATCTACTATTACCACATTCCTGTTTAAACAGTAGTACAGGATGGCTGTAATGCATACAATACATAGTTTGATTAGTTTCCATTGAACAAAAATCAACGTTCCAACTGAAATCGATGCCATGATTTGGAATAAGAGAACACGATTCTATTTACCATCAATCAACTAAGTCACCATTATGAACAAGACTAAACACCGTATCAACGTAGCAATCATAGTAAACGAAATTTAGATTCAGAGTTCTCTTGACTTAACCTAAACAGGTAAAATGGCTTTACATCAGCATATCTTATAATATATGGCTAATTCAACTTCTCATCCAAACATTAGAACTTATAAGCTAAACATGTTAGCCAGAACTTGTCAAATCTAAATCTAAACATAAAGAATAAATTAAATTGAACTTCATTTATTGACAGCTGGAAATGTTAATTAGGATTTCACTCTTGTTATGATCAACACCTAAATTTACTTCATTCATCAGGAAACTCCCAATGTAATTGTCTTTCTTTGAAATTTAAAGACATTACTTTTATATAACCCATATATAACAAGGAAACAACATAAACATTAAACTAATACCATTATTAGACATTGTATACTATCATCCTGAAATCATTGAATTCCGTTTCTTAGTATAATTTCGTCCAAGATTTTCTATATTAAGTGGATACAATGAAAGAAAAGTAATTTGTCATTACCTTTTTTTCTAAACATAGAATATATAAATTAAAATATTAATAATTTTACTTGATATTTCAACAAAATAATTAAAAGGATATTTAAATCAATTTCATAATTATTACATAACAACACCATTTAAGATTACGTCAATGAGAGAAATTAACAACTTATTACTATTCAAATCACTGAGATATTCATGACACTTAGTGAATTATTCTTTAAAACAAATTATACAATATTCAATTATTTCTATTATATTAAAAGAAATTTAATCTGGAAGTCGTAAAATCAAAAGATATTGGGACGTTTTATTCTGGAGATTCATATATTGTCTTGAATATAGAAAAAGTTGGCGATGATTACAACTATGATGCTCATTTCTGGATAGGAAAGAAAAGTACTCAAGTGAGTAAAATTATAAAAAAATATAGATATTAATTTATCATTTTTATATATTTAGTCAAGATGAAACTAATCACTGTCATATACAACACATAGTCGACTGGCCATCAACTTGATGAATTAAAATGTTTCGGAAAATTTTAGTTTCACTAATTATATATAGCCTCATTAAGTTAATCTTAAGAATTGATAAAATATTAGAATTACCTTCTTACTTCTATTTATAAAAGAGAAATAGAATATTACAGTCTATACAGTGACATTATATCATCGATAAACAGAAAAATTCTTCCACTTACAAATTAAACCGCATTCTGTTCAGACACTCGTTCATAACCGAAACATTTCATTACTGCTTAACATTCCCCTAATTTTAATAATCTGGACTCTAGAGTGTTGGTCAACTGAATATAAATATGGCTACACCATATAATGATCAATACATTATTTATTAGGGCTGAAATTTCTAATGAATATTCCAATTATCCAATGAAACATCAATAAGTTCGTTTGTTATAAAGTACATTAAAATCAGGTTTAAAACATTTTTGACTATGAGAGTTTCATAGCGAAACAATGGTTGATCTTATCCTTCCTCAAGTATAACTGTTATTATAACAAACCCAAGGTAATTTCTATACTCGTTAAACAGTTTACAAATGAATAATTCAACACTAGAAACAATTTAGGGGTAACATTTTGGAATTCTAAAATAATTGATACTAGGTGAAATCTGTCAGTGAGTTCATTTTGTTGATATTTTTCGAGTATGATTATCAAGCAACTGAAAGCCCCTGATATAACGCTTGATTTACTGCTTCGACAAACTAAACAATATGTCTTCATTTATAAAGTTACATTAACTTAAATAAAATGTTAATATTGCTGATTCACTAGAGATTTGACCAATTAAATAAAAAGATTGTTGATAGCTGTAATCAAAATTTATTATTTATCACTAACGGTAAATACATTATTGAGTAATCTCATTTAAGATCTGAAATGATGATGAATAATAATCAAATACAAGTAATAAATTTAATAGTACCGTAACGAACACTGTAATTTATATGCGAAGTAAAGTTGGCAGTTATTAGTCATTATAAATTGTGTAATGGTTTACTTCATTTCAAAAGATTATTCCTAATTATCAACGTATTTCGACATTATAAAATCTTTCACTGAAAATACTATTCAACTAGTTTCGGAAATAAGAAAAATAAAAAAGCCAATGTTTAATATCATATTGTCTGATAAGAAATTCAGAAAACTGGATATCCCTACATTTTTGAAGTGGAAAATCTAAAACAAAACTAACGAACATTATCTTGGTTGGTATTTAAAGTAGATTTCTAACATTTAATTCGAAATACCATGGCATTTAATCCCATTAATGGATATATCTATGTTATTTTATTTCCAGCTTCATTTTTTAACTTGATTAGATTTATTATTATTCCATTTATACAATCTTTTAAGTCAACAGATCAACAGATTACATATCCTAAGGAAATTGGTAGTATGTAGATTGAAGATTATTTCATCTTTCTTATCTGAGACAACATGGGTTTACCACATTACGAGTTGGTTAAAAATACAGATCTAGAAATGATTTGACTTTCTGAAACATCTTCTTTAAAGAATATGAAACTTACTTTTCATTTCGATAGAACAATGAGAAGACGGAGTTGATCAGAAAAATGTGATGTATTTACGCTATACATTTCGAACAATCTGGTCACACATATACTTGTCAATGCATTTTTATATAAAAATTAATAAAGGTCAAACAAATAAAAGTACAATTAAAATAACTAAGGGGAGAGAAAGAATAAGAAATTGTCGCGTTATCCTAGGCCATAGAATGACTTAAGAATTACCAAGGTAAATTCAAGGTTACGACAAATTGTTTTTGTACACATAAGGGGGTTTAAATTTACGAATAGCCAAGGCTTCAATAAACTTAAGAATTCGACCTTGACAAGTATATGTGTGACCAGATTGTTCGAAATGTATAGCGCAAATACATCACATTTTTCAGATCAACTCCGTCTTCTCATTGTTTTATCGAAATTTATAAAAGGGACTAATTGCTTTACTTTTCATTATCATGATGACAAGATTTATGGAAAAGACCTATTATGCACTAATACTGTTTTGATAATTTACACTGTTATTATAGGATAGCAACTAATGATGGGAATAAATAAAATAATATGCATACACACACTGCAGATTGTTAGCTAGACTAGCTATCACCAATACGATTTCAATTTTGATTTCATAATAATTAGCATAACAAGTAAATCTAGTTAATTATTCATTTCCATTACTAAGGTAACCGACATTTTTAGTTGGTTTAAAAATAGCTACTTTATGTATGAATGGATCCTACACACACGTGAACATAGTTAAGGGTGGAGAATAGTCAGTCTATTTCACTTAATAAAACTATTGCAGTGATTATCTACATTTTCTGTAATATACTATAAACTTCATTATTGTTTTCATTACTCCCCATTAATTGATAAGGATGAATATGTAACTGCAGCTTACAAAACTGTAGAGTTGGATACATTTTTAGACGACAAAGCTATTCAACATCGTGAAGTCGACGGATTGGAGTCAAAACAGTTTAAAAATTATTTTAAAAAGTTTAGGTAAGTCATCAAAACTGTCTTGCATTTGTAATTTTTTTTGTAAATCACTAAAATTTTCATTAAATTATGTAAAATTCCAAAAAGAAAGTAGTATAATATTAAACGAATGTCACTGTTTACCAGTTGAGAGATAGTTTCCTACTAAATGTAATTCTTGAACAGTGATACAGTAACTTGTTAACTTATCAACTGTTTAAATGTAGTTGTATTTAATTAGATTAGCAACACTTGCACATCCACTAATAAAAATGGTTTAGCGATACACCATAAATGTTCACATTAAAATAACCATGGAGTTGAATAAAGAATTGAATAAAGAGTTGAAGGAATTAATAAGATTCAAGCACATATATATGGGAAAGCGAATGATTTATTGAACAGTGAAGCGACTAACATTCAAGCTAACGTGAGGGATATGTGCACAGGCTGTCACATATGATCAAACAAATACGCTCACACAGACATGATAGTAATACTAAGATGTAAGAATTTTCGCTGTTCGAATCACATTGTCTATTAACTAAGTTAATTGATGTTCTAACAAAATAAAAAGTAAACATAATTTAGTGTGAGAAGAATGCCATACAGATACGTCAGTCAGTAACAATCTGGGATAAGTGTACAACGGTCACATTACCGCATTACATCACAATTCAATGAAATTATCTATAGACATAACATACTAATCGAACTATCGGTAGTTTTAATCACCGTGAAAAAACCGAACACCGAACACGTTGTTTTAAACATAGATTAATTTTGAAAATAAAAGGAAAAAAGTGATATTTAAACTCCATCACATGAAGTAATATTGGATCGCTGAACCAAGTACCGGTTTTTCAAATATATTTATTAAAGTGACTCTTTTGTATCAAAAGGACAATTCTTATCTTTTTCATAATGAATACTAATTCAAAATTAAGTCTATAAACTACACGATGTCTTTCATAATACATTCGACACTTGAACATCGAAAAATGTTAATATCCGTTTTTCCTCTATACTCATTTCACTGAATTTTAATTTAGATGCCAACCCACATCAAAACATACACATGGAGGTCAAATGTGATTACATACTTTAATATGTTAGTGAAAGAAATCAAATTTACCTTAGAATCTATTAATTCTATCCCGTAAAATCTTTTTTTTTCTAAACTGTATTTTCATTCATTTATTCTCTGTATACAATAAACATTGCATTGTTACTAGTAACAACTCATGTTGTGAGAATAATCTTGAATTTCCCGTTCACACCTAAACTAAACGACTTTAATATAGAGTTAATAAGTTTAGAAAAATTATATGAAAACCGAAAAGTAAACTAAAGAATAATAACATTAAAGAGAAAGAATGTATTTGTAAAATCTCAGCGAAAGAATTTGAAGTAAATCAAACGTTTTGCCTGGCAATCTAATCCAAGCTTATTCGATAATTTTGATGTTTGATTATATTTGTTTGAAAAAGCTTAGACTAGATTGCCAGGCGAAACGCTGGATTTACTTCAAATTCCTTCGCTTTAATGTTTCACATTAACTTGGCGCCCAAATACTGTGAAATTATTCGATCAAATTTGAACAAAACTTCTTATTCAAAGAATAATAATCTTATATTTTCGTCTTTGTAACTAAATAATTAAACATATCGTCTGCACAATTGTCTTTTAAGCTTCTTGTAAATGTGTACATTATCATTCTTAGATAACATCTTGTAATTTAAAAGAAGAAAATATTCTATTATGGAATTTTAAAAAAAATCTAATTAAGCAAAATCTCTTTGAGAATAAATGCCAAAATTACATTCAGTACATCAATCAAAATGTGTATATTATCTTTAATATGTTATGTAACATGATTTTATTACTGAATTCAATAGAGATAAGAAATAGAATACAATAAGTAGCACGTTATATTTAGGGTATATATGAGGATAGCTAATTGTTTATGAAATGTTATATTTTTTAACATGTAAGAAAGAATTGAATTTATTATGGGGATTATTAGATGATCTTTGTGCATATTGAAGGCAATGTTTACCATAAATCAACTAATCATATACTAGAAAGTAATGAACGTTAATACTTGTCTGAAACCAATTCAAGGCATTAACCCATGATGAAATACGAAATAAAGTTCATGATTTTCAGATCTCATAGACAATGTTGATAGCTCTAGATTACTGAGTCAGATTTCAGTGGATCCCACACTAAATTCTAGTCAATTTTTTTGTATCGGATGACCATTTTCTCCCCATTCTTCCACTGGTTTATAATTGGAGATTTTGATCTGATTATCTGTGAGATCGGCTGAGAATTAGTAAGAAGTGCCTAAGTAGGACTATGTAGCTATTAAATTCCTCCCTAGTTTACAGTGGTCCTCTAAACGAAGTCATTTAGTCACCAAAATTACTTTCAAGTATTTAGGAATCTCTTATTTGGTAATCATAATCGCAACAAATATGGGTATAACATCACTTTTTTATTTCATTTACCTACTTTGTATCAATGTATTTTTTTAATTACAAACTTTACCATTATTCACACAGTCTACTGATCGTGTAGATCAATAAATTTTAATCGGAACACTCTGATTTTCATCATTCGTCAGTATATTCAATAATAATCACACAGTCTCTTTTCATGTATGAAATATAACTGAAATCAAATATTAATTAGGTTTGCTACACAATTAACAATTGTATTTTCTATATTTATCATTATATTGAAACGTTTTAGAACACTTGAAGGTGGTTATGATAGTGGATTTAATCATACAAAACCAAATGAATTTAAAACAAGGCTTATACACTTTCGAGACATTGATTCTTCACATGTTGAATTACGTGAAGTACCTTATTCTAGAAATTCTTTGGTTTCGGAAGATGTTTTCATACTGGATTTAGGATCATTAGCTTATCAATGGATTGGTAGTAAATCAGGCAAATATGAACGATTTAAAGTAAGTTAATGTTCATTCAAATAAAAAAGTTTTCAACTATAAATGTGTTTTATTTGGAAGGTGTTTATATGAAATGAAATTCTTGAATGTTTTATTAACTTAATTACTACAGAATTTTCATTTAAGATATTACATCCCTTTCTACTGATATATTCAAAAGAACGTTCTTTATTACATTTTCATATGTTTAGTTCCCGTAAATAAATTTAAAATAAAATTTCCTTGTAACCAGTCCGTACTCGTAAATAAACTAAAAATACCTAATTATGGAGTAATTACTTTGAAATCTGGCTATTATTAGAACTAAAGGTAAAGCCTTTCATATTTTAAATAAAAAGACGTAGTTGCTAACTCGAAATCAGGTTAATGACTTTTTGTGTACCTGTTTAACACAAGATTTGAACAATCTACGTTTATTCTCATTCTTATATATATATATATATATATATATATATATATATATATATATATATATATATATATATATATATATATATATATATATATATATATCCATTCATTCATCCGTCTAAATAGCGTTTTGGTATTTTAACTGATGTCAGTTCGTGATGAAACCCATAAATCTAATTTCTTACCCTAACAGTCAAACGTAAATCATAATCCTTATTCTTTATACTGCTTTATAACCGTCATTTCGCGCTAGTAAGTAAGTGGACATTCTCAAGATCACTGAGCCGTTGCTCCAAAGTCATCCGTATATTATGGTCTCACCGAATTAGTTTCTTAGTTCTAGTGCAAAACAACGGTCTAGTTCTTTTTTGATGGTCTTGTTAATGGTGTTGTTAAGTGAAAAAATTTATTGATCTTCACAAACCACTATACTGGTATTGTGGTGTGTGCTAATGATGTCGACAGATCTAAGTAGTATATACCATCAATCGAAAATGAAATGCCTGGCGATAGAATGTTAAGAAGATCAAAGAGAAGAGAACGACAATACAAATGTCAAGACAGTTCTACTGTATGGGGCAGAAACCTGGAGAACTACGAAAGCCATCATCCAGAAGGTACAAGTGTTTATTAACAGTTGTCTACGCAAAATACTTCGGATCCCTTGGCCGGACACTTTTAACAACAACCAACTGTGGGAGAGAACAAACCAGATCCCAGCGGAGGAAGAAATCAGGAAGAAGCGCTGGAAGTGGATAGGACACACATTGAGGAAAGCACCCAACTGCGTCACAAGACAAGCCTTCACATGGGATCCTCAAGGCCAAAAGAAAAGAGGACGACCAAAGAACACATAACGTCGAGAAATGGAGACAGATATGAGAAAAATGAACAGAAATTGGATGGAACTAGAAAGGAGGCTCAGGACAGAGTGGGTTGTAGAATGCTGGTCGGTGGCCCATGCTCCAACGGGGAGTAACAGGCGTAAGTAGGTAAGTAAGTACGATGCAATTTATTTTACACGACTTATCAACAAGAAAATAAAACCAAACGAAACCTATAGTGATGGAAAGATGAAAACTTGAATGAAAGTGTATGTTAATTATGTACAATATTTTCATTTCATTTCGAACATTTTTAGCAAAAAATTCCTATTCGAAAAGTATTTATATCCTTTTAAAATGTCCCTTTTTATTATTTTTACCTATTTATCTATAGAGTGCAGAATATTTATTGAAACTTAAAAGTGAACGTAATGGAAGATGTAAAATTCAAGTATTAGAAGAAAATGAAAACTCGCATGAATTAGTTAGTGTGCTTTATTATGAATATTCTATGTTCTATTCCCATCTATAATTTTCATTAAATTATTCATCTAATATATAGACAGGATCAGCATAAAGGTTCATTATTATTTATTATATAAATGTGAATCATGTTCGATGAAATTTCACATACTCTACTTTCTATCTATTATAGACTGACTAAAAGTACTTATAATAAGTCTATAAACTTAAAAAACTGCTATACAACTCAGTTGAAAATCTATTTTTCTAGTACTTGGGTACTAGATATGCATATTAAGGTGACTAAAGATCGTAGACAACTGAACTAGTCTAGACAGGGACATGTAGTCGATGACCTCTGCTCACAGCCGCCCACACATACATCTCTCTGCCATCTATGGGCTTGAAAATAGCATATGATCCATCCGCATTACCGGTGCAGTAGATGAAATTTTTAAAATGAAATCACATTATCTTCTTGGTTGTTTGCTTATAAAATACTTCATTAGTCAGCAAACATTCTGAACATGTAAATGGGTTTGGAAATACAGATAATGTTTCTTGAAAACATTTCCAATCTATCAATTTTGGCAGAACCATAAATTATTCACACAAATTTTTACAGGTCTTTTTTTCACGGATATTGATGGCCTCATTTTAATTTTACTTACATTGAACTCTTCCTTTTATCTATTCAACTTTAAGAAAGAATTTTTAGCCAAGCTGCCGAATACCGAAATTACTGCACCTTCTAAAAATAACTGCGGAATGAAGGCAGTTCATCGGTAAGTTATTCAGCTTACTGTGAACGGACCATTTCCGATTATTTTAATACGTTGTTGTCATTCTTATTAGAACTATGATGTTAAACCCTTTTGAACAAATATATTAGATTCCAGTGAAGAATGGATGCAGCTACTTCACACCGTTTTTAATATATTTAGGGTATCCACTATAATACTACCTGGGTGATAATATGCTATGAGAAACTAACCATGACTGTGTTGTAGAGGCAATGGTGTGTCACATTTACTGCCAAGAGCTGACTAGTGGGAAGAAAGTGTTCTGTGAGTGAACTAGCTGATATATATACCTTCAGAAACAATGAAGGAATAAAACTAAAAGTTACGATTCTCTGAAATCTAACAGGAAAGTACCTTAAAAGAGCTGGTTGGCACTATATATACGAAGACGGTCTGTTACTCAGCCTCATTACAATCAACTTACCTAGGGCTCCACAGTGCTAATACCTTAGGCTAAATGATAAAAAGTTAAAATGAAGTATTTTCTTCAGAGTCAGAATTTACCTAAATATAGATCAGTAAAATGAAAAATGACTAAGTAGTTATATCTATCTAAAATACTTAAACAAGTCACTGACTACTCAAAAAGTTCAAGGGAGACACGGCTGCTGAGACACTAACTAACTAAATCTTTGAGAGAGACCTTTCATTCGGTGAATCTTCCAACTGTTTCTTTTGTAAGAACTTCACTTAAGGAACTGTCGGGCATAATATACCACTTTAGGTTATTGTATAGCCCAAGAAAATGATATATTTGGGAAAAACCTTCCTTCTTTGAATAGTCTTCATTCTTCCACATGAATCAATAGGTTACTATCGCTGTTCTAGAATACATTTTTTCAAAAGATCACCCAAACTTATAGATTACTTCCTGAAGCCCAATAGTTAGTATTTCAATCAAGCTGAAATTGACTGGAACAAAATTATTAATTAACTTTCACACAGTCATGTTGATTTCAGTTTCAAAACCGAAACTTGCAAATGCTAAATACTACTTGGGGATTTTCAAACATGATATGCCTCAATCAAGCTCATCCAATTGAAGCTGTTTACTTGAATTTTTCTTTAATGCATTACATAATATTTTCGTATTGTTATTATGGCTACTTATAAGTAGCTAACGTTAGTCTGGAAATTTTCATCAGATGTATTTTTTCTAAGTTTATGACACAACTTTTGTTTGCCTTGTTTCAAAAGAATGTAAGTGACTAAATATCAAGTCTTCACGTTTGTTTTCACCAGTTGAGTAACTATGGAAGATATGGAAAATATAATTGTAGTACCTTAATACGAAATATAATCAGAATTTTCGGATTGTATTAAAATCTTATGTCACTGACGGCTGAATTAAAAGCTGATCATATCTACAGTTGCAAGGCTTACTGTAATTAGAGTAGATTTCCGTCCTCGCTGTCAGAATATCTTGTTTACTTAAATATATCATGGCTCATAAACTAATGAAGCAAAGTTTATAGCTAACTATCTTTATACCGAGCGGTAGCATAACCTTCACATGCAGAATAATTAGGAATTTCAAGTGAATATGAGAAGCACAATTTTTAATAGTTTAATCGTTTAATGCAGTCAGATCTTGATAATATGTCCATTTGTATCGATTGATCTGCAATTATAGAATGTTTATTGAGCTTCCTTAAACCCTTATGAAATCTTTACAAAGGTATATCAATATATCCAACCTTCTTCACTTAAACGACATATAACAACTCATTAAATATAAGCAATGTAAATGTTTGAAAAGCTATTTCGGAGTTATTTTTATCCTTGTTTATCTGCTAAACTTAGGATAAAACTATCATAATTTTTTACTTTTCATCATAAAAGCCTTTCAGATGAGGATGGGGAAATGAAATTATCTTTGGTATGTAAAGAGGTACTGCCACGATCTGTGATTACACAAGATGATGTGTACTTCATTGACAATGGTTCTCATTTATACGTCTATATTGGAGACCAGTGTTCAACCCAGGAAAAGCGAAATGCTCTATCAAATGCTCATGTAAGAGTTATTTTTACTATACAATAAATGTTATTCAATGTTTAAAGTATAAAAGCTTACTGGATATCACATAGTATAGTAATATTGATTATATTTGAGCAAAGAGTTACTTAATAAAGTAAACTAATCTAAGCTCTAATTTGCAAATGAAAATTAAGTACACAAAAGCTTTAAGGAAAAAGATGAAACTTAATTTATCCATACACTTTTAGTAGATTGAAAGTTGACGATTTATAATACAATAGTATAGTATAGTATGTCTAGTAAACAACGTTTTATTATGAAATAAGAGACAGTATATTTATGCTTAGATAATTGATAACTTCTGAAAGCTGTTTAGTAAACTATCAATGAAAATGTTTTCTTAAACTAACTGAAATTCAGAAAATAATGTAACTATTGATCTGCTAATTTAATCGGATGTTTATGAATATTGCGGCCTTCATTTAATGCAAATATCGTAACTATTAGAAACCATAGTATTATCATATGATTTTAGTTGGAAATTTGAAGCTAAAAGAAGATAGAGTTTTCTTTTCTTTTATGAATACTGCATTATTGAGAATTCTTTACTGTTTATCAATTACTTTAAGTTACTAGCAAATTTTAAATGTTTCACTAGTAAATATGTTTTCTTTGAAAAAAATTTAATCTCCTAAAGTACCACTCATAAAAATAATCTTTTTATTTAGTGTTTTATTTAGCTAGCGTAGTATGCAACATGTTTGTGAATAGTTATAGAAACAACATATATCTACCCACATATAAGGGATGATTTTTTAAAACATTAAAGCATCCACACAATATAATTATATTGATTACTGTTTAAAAATCTCTTTTCTTGGGTAGATTTAGATTGTTTCTAAGACAATTTATCATATGTTTATCTCTTACCCTTTAATATTCAGCTTAATATAGAATATAAAACTGTGAAATTTTTATAATATTATACTTGTAAACATTATTAACTACAAACTTAATATTGATTACTATTTGTTTAAAATGTTGATGTTTACGCATGACATTGCACGAAATTCCATTTTGTAATCAGTTTTATATCATAAACACTCTAGAAGTACAAGCAAGAAAAATACTTTACATTTTGACTATCATGAAATGTAACCATTTTAAATAACAAAATCCTAACTTCATCCATTAAATTATATTTTAATCAGAAGGGGTTTATGTTGATATTATAGTAATTTCAATAGTTGAGATCACGAGTCAATTGAAGCTAGACCATCATGAAAAACCTGGAAGCACTGGACGGCCATTTCGTCCTATTGTAGGACTTCTCGGCAATGCGCGTTCACGACACCGCCTCGCTAGATTCGAACCCGGGAACTATCGGTCTCGCGCTTAAACTCCAGATCGCTGGACCAGCATACAACGGTGTTGATGTTTAATTTCAACTAATCCTCGAAATCGAACCACCGTATACCATTGTCTTCAGTGACTTACTATCTCACAACAGACCCGGTTGAACTCCATTGGTCACTGCTTCTGGTGGATGTGTCGCTCGATTTCGTGGATTAATTTAAGTTAGATATTAACACCGTTGGATGCCTGTTCAGTGATCTGGAGTTTAAGCGCGAGACCGATAGGTCCTGGGTTCGAATCTCGCAGGGGGCGGGATTGTGGATGCGCACTGCTGAGAAGTCTTATACTAGGACGAAAAGGCCGTCGGGCGCTTCCAGGTTTTTCATGATGATTTAACTTTAATTGACTCATGATCTCAACTATTGGAATTAAATGTTCATATTAAAAATTACTTTAAAATTAGGGTTGATCAATTTTTTTATCGATAAGTGATCAACACTATTTTAGTGTTTAATGTTATCTAGAATGGTTTCTCTAACGTGTAGAATCTATAGTGACTGATAAACATCGTCTTTATATAAATATGTAATATTCAACATTTATTTTCTGGAAATGAAAATCCAATTCAGTGAACTTGGAAATAATATACAATTTTATTAAATACTTGATTATTGTTGAAATGTGAATGTCATTTCAAACTATTTGGGTTACATTAGTCAAGATGATAAATTATTCTTTGTCCCCATTATAACAGTTCTGAACCCTGGCAATCCCCTGTCAAGTACTATTAATTAATTTAATCATTTATACTAATGATATGATGTTAAAGGAAGATTACTTTGTATCAAAACTGACTGAAGTCGAAACCATTAATTACTGATGCTTGACTTGTTCTTCAGTAGAAATCATACTTGCTCTGAAACTAAAATTTCCAAGTTTTGATGAGGTCCAGAGTTGTGAATGCTTACCTTTGAAGAGTCTCAAATCAAATCAATTCAATTTTGCAGTGCTCTACACTTTTTGTTAGTTTCTATGGGAAACATTCTTCGGTACAAGAAGATTCAGATAATGATTCAGTATACAGATTTAAATTTTCCTTTCTGGATTTAAGATATTTTGGTATAATTGATATCATTTGTGCTGAACCAAAAATTCTTTATAGGATGATCATAACGTTGACTGAAAAGTGGTGAATTTATGTCACATATCAGCATCTATAATACTCGAATGGATACATACATCAACTCTTATACTGCTTACGATTTCATGGGATAAACAATAGGCGTGTTTGTAAAACTCTTTACCAATACGCAAATCCGACATATTTTAAAGTCTAAATCCGATTTCTTTCTCAAAATTAAGACTCTTATCTCATAATGATGTGTTATAACGAAATTAAATGATTATAATGTGGTTGAAAGTGGTCGACGAGAAACCCTGAAACTAGGTTTTGTGCTATTCGGTGCTCGTCAGCAGGGTGTACCTTTGATACTGTTAGAAATGATGTTCCTTGTGATATTCAAATCTACCCCATCCAGTGTGAGAAGTTAACAATGAGCTATTCTGGCAACGACTGACCTACTACAGCACTGAAATATTTACAATTGATTGACCTAAGGTATCCTATCAACTACTTTCAACAATCTAACGTCTCAATAGGGTGGTACGATGTTAAGTGATCTCATTGGATCTTGATAAATAGGATTCTATCGGCATCAGAAGACTAGATAAACATGATATATACTCAATTCTCAACGATCAAGCAATTGTGAGATTACCAACTATCTGTAACGTTCCACATTCTAGTTGGTTACTTTCTTGGATTTGTGAATTCGGTCATTTTACCATGTTTACCTGTTATTTTTTCTCTGTGTAGCTTAAATTATAATGGATTATGTTAAATAGGCTTGATCAGTGAATTAGTTGCAGTCCAATCTAACTTTTCTCACCAACTTTACTTGTTTCCAAACGAAAATAAAACTTTTATGAACATTAAGCTAGTGAATAGATGTAATTAACAGATAATGAGATCGATAGAACTATGTTTAGCATACAGAAAACATTTTTTTATGTAAATAGTATCATCGCAAACTAATATTATGTCGCTGCAGTACAACTAAGTTGCAGTAATATTTCGTAGGCGTGTAACAAGAACTATGTTGGTTATAGATTGTTAGAACAATATTAGAACAAAAAATATTACTAACTGACGTTTTACTAAAGGCTAACTGTGATAGATAGGTGAATAGAAAACAGAACTCATTAGTGTTATAATTTTTTTTAAATGAATGTTCTCTGTTAATATAAAAATCTTAACTTGTTTCTTTATTACCTTTTATCATATATTAAAAAATTTTTAGGAGTATTTAAAGGGAACTAGTCATCCACTTGTACCAATCAGCGTAGTTTGCGGCAGTGAGAAATTAACACTGTTAAAAAATATCCTAGAATGAAACAATACGAAAATTATTTAACACTATTTCAGTTACATGAAGAAACATATTCATAATGACAGAATTGAATCATGAGTTCAGTAGTTTTTTTCTACCATTATTTACCTCCATTATTTTTCTTAATAAAATGATCATTCCATTCCACTCCTATTTTGAAAATGTCAGGTGATTTATTCCCAGATTTAAAAATATGATTCGTCTGTAAAGGAATAATAAATTATTTGTCGATGTAACATTAAAAGTTCGACTGGCTGGTGACTAAATTTTGTTTAGCGTATCTGAAAATAAATTTTTCTAAAAATAAAGATTTATATTCTGAAAATTGAAGATACCCTCCTACAATCTAAATACACATATAAGCAAAGATGAATGATGGCTAGAGCGTCCTGAATTACATTGCTAACCAATATCCATCTTTGCTTAAAATGCTTATGACTTAAGGCAATATCGAGGCAATCCGTACATGATGTACATATGCCAATAAGAGACTGATCAATTGCAGTTTTAAACATGAATTGGAAGATTCAAACAACCAATACAAAAATGAATTGAAACACATATTTTTAATTATCTAACTCATGAAAATTTTATCAGTCAACAGTAGCAATATTAGCTACTGAATGTTTTTTTGAACACAATTATTGGTACAAAGGGACACCGAATACATATGCACCACACAAGTCACTTAACTTGTGTGTGAGCTATGATACTGCCCGGATGCCAAGACCGGGGCAGGTAGTTTTCTTAGGGGGCAACACCCGGAGCCTTCGACCTAAAGGTCTGATCCACAAGTCAGTAGAGCAACGCTAGGAAGTGCAATCGTATGGTAGCCGGTGACCAATAATTGGTTCATACGCTTTTTGTTTCCGTAGGATCCGGAAGCCCATGTGAACCATCGGTTTAGAATCAGTTTTCTAACTCCCCTAGGTGGATCCTCCGTGTCCACTAACCTGGTTAAAGAGCCGGATATCAGCTTTTCATCCTCTCAATTTCGTAAACAACACCCCTGCCACGAGAAGGCAGTGAGTAAGACTTCCTGACAGTGGCTATATACGTGTGGCCATGTGAGAGCGTTTCGAGAAGGAGAGCTAACTCCACCCACCCTCGGCCATACCAGGGCATTCGGGGGTCTGTTGATAATAATGAATGTTATTGAATGTTAATGATACCTAAATAAAACATTATTTGCTAAATACGTCCATTCGAACGATTAAATCTAGATTTTAAAGTAAATGAAAAATGATTTTCAAGTATATTTCGTTTGTTTAAAACATTCAATAAGATTTTGACAATCGTTTAATGAAAATTGGTTATGCAATGAAACAATGACCTTCACCTTAAATTGATTATTTCATCGACCTGAAATGGGTTTCCATTTAATTATCAAATACAGTTAGCTTATAGTACTTATTTCACTTTGATGGATATATATTTAGTAAAAAAAGATGATGTTTCGGGTTAAATTTAATCAACAATAACAGTTAGTGGTTGACCAAAAACTTTTGAAAAGTTTGGAAAATCAAAATTATTTATCTGTATGAAGCGAATTATCGTTAGTTAAGTACATGAACACTATGAAATCGTGCGATTATACAATGAATAGAGGTTTTACAAAATGAATAAAACTGAAACTTGACATGATGATAATAAATCCAACTGTGACAGTTAGTGATTATAGGTTGAATGATACAAGAATAATCACTTCCGTCAACGTTGGGGAAAGGTTTTGCTAAGGAATTTCAACAAATATGTAATCTATAATTGAAACTTTCTACCTACAACTACCTTGACTCCAAATAATAGTGAATGAAATGGATAATAGTTAACCAAAAAGAATGCATTTTTAGATATGTTAGAGAAAATCCCTTCAGTTGATCTGAAGTACATTCTAAAGAAAACATTTCGGTGAGATTATAATTTATAGACGAACTAAACAGATTTACAATATTAGGTCTTGAGTTTTGGCGCGAAATTAATTCATTCATTTGGCTAAATAGAGTTTTGTCATTATGGTTGATATCAGTTCGTGATGAAAACCCTATACCTGGTTCTTAAGCCTAACTATCAATTGTAAATATTAATCCTGGTTCCTCACAATAGTTTATAACCTTCATTTATCAGTAGTATGTAGGTGGACATTCTCAAGGTCTCTTCAGCGTCGCTCAATGGTCGTTCATAAATTATGGTCTCACCAAATTTTCTTTTTCAACAATATCATTTAATAGAACTATATGATCGTATCTTTAATTATTTTTTGCATACAGTAATCTATAATAAAGCCGCGAATTGTTGTGATAGTAAAGGTTAATCTAAATTCAGCTTTACATAATCAAAATAACCCATAGTGTCATTGAATAAGAAAAAGAGAATTCAGCGAAGAAAATCTTCTTTTCGACGAAATCATTTACTTAAGCTGTACATTCGTATATATAGTTATATGGAAAATGTATGTCTGTAGAAGGATAGAATGGATTGTATCACAAAAATGGATTCGACAATAAATAACAAATGAGGTTAACGTACTAATCAAGGGGGTAAGGAAGAACAAAATTTAAGGGTCAGATAATAGTCCAATTGACAGATATGAAGAAAAACGACGAAACAACAAAGGTCATAACAATAGACTGAATAATAATCAAGAAAACTTGTAAAAGGTCATAATAATAAATGATTAGAGTTTAAAGTGCTAAGTAGTAATTTAAAAATATCGATAATAATAAAAGTGCAGAAAAAAACACAGAAACACCTAGAAACATACCCATTAAGGGAATTAGGGCCAGGGAAGGATGAGAGGTTGGACAAATCGTTTCTGCACGCAAAGTTCAGGCTTTAGTTTGTGGATTGCCAATGCCTCTGCGGTGCATAAAATATTTATTCGAACCCCCTTCGATCCAGTTCCTTTGACTCTGTAAACTATTTTAAACGAAGAGTCTTTTGGAGCGATATGTCCACAGTTGATTAAGTGCTCCTGTATAGAACTCGTGATTGTTTTTCGCTCCCCTTTCAAGAGCCAAGCCGGATAATGTTCCGAGATGCGTTTGGATAATGATCGCTTTGTGCGGCCTATGTAACATGCCCCACATGAGCAAGTAAATTTATAGATACACATTGAAGTGGCCCAAAGCGAAAGTTTGTCCTTAACACACCCCAGAATGGTAGGTCGGCTAGAGAAGATGATTCGAAGCTTAGCTGCGTGAAATGTTTTATTCAGTGATTTCGAAATCCGTTTATTTTGGATTTCAGCAGCGTCAATGGTATTAAGAAAACCTAGCAAGTTGATGACTAAAAAGAAAATACAAATATTAATTAAAACATGTCAGAAACAACTTACAAAATAAAGTATGTTAGGACGGTGGTAAACCAAAAGATTTGACTGCGCCGCTGTACATTTGGTTTGATGAAGTGCTAAGCCCACATGTTTCACGTTTCACACACAAAATACAACAGAAGAAACTGCTGTCTAGTATACTTATCCCTTGGGTAGTTATTGGACATTATTTCAACACCATAAGTGATGCATGTTAGCAAAGGAAAAGCGAGTTTCTTGTTTCCATTTGGAGATGTCTTTAGGAACCAATATATCAAGGCTGGCGAGCCTTGCTTAATAAAAGCTTGGTTTACAAAATTTCTTGTTCTAATATGTAGTTGATTTAAATTCTGCAAACTTAGTAAACTATCTGATAGTCACATATACTGTGAATAACGTAAGGTAGCTTATATTAGGACATCCTTGTAAAGTTATCCTTAAAAAATAAAATTTGAATGAAAGAAACACATCGTCTTTTAATTCCCTTCAAATATGTATATTTTTATAGAGATACCAGAGACTATCACTTTGTTCTTGTTCAAATAATCAGAAACAAGTAAACTGCTATATAAATTAGCTTGTTTCTATTATAATGCTACTTAACCATATTTCCTAGAAAACCGCATTTATTTTCGGAGTCCATAATGTTTAGAACATCCCTACTGAATTGATGTAAAAATCAGTTAATTGAAAATTGATTAGAGGGTATTCAAAACATGTACTGCACAATGGAGACTATTTTGCAAATGCACTGGGATAGCGTATTTTTAGAAAAAAGAAAGATATAATCTCAGGTACAAGAATTTCTTAAAGATTGAAGTTCACGTATGAGTACCTTTTTAAGCTAATAAGAAATCAAGGTTCAGCCACTGATTAAGCAGTGTGTTCTTCTAATATATGCACTTAAATTTCTCAAGATCAGGTTTATTGTTTCGTTAAACACAATTCTGTTCCGATTTTAAAAAATTAAGCGTAAAATCACTTGAATTATAACTAGATGTTTATTGAGTGCAGATGCTCTAACTAGAATCGCTCACTATACCCCATAATATTACTATCATTAGTATTGTTACTACCTTTGACAACTAGTGGCTCTCTCGAAACATAGTTATTCACTTAGATACGTGTATTAAAGACCCTACATAATAAATACCAACTAACCTATTGCCATGATAGCTTTTAATAAATTAAAATTCATATAATTAACTGTGTTTCAGATTCGTATATATTTTATCGATCTCTGAATGCAAGACCAAATTATCAGTAAACATCAGAATATACCTAATCGTCTCTTCAACATATCCATCTATTACATGGTAATACGTTTTCTGGTGATAGTGTATAAATACTGGTTATTCGCTAAGAAAATCAATAATATGAAGTGATATAATTTAGTCCTCAGGATCAAAAATGATCATCAAATAACTCTTAAGTAACCTTTCTGTCTACATTAGTAAAGTGGTTTAATAATTGATGTAGGTTTATGAAGACTGGATTTTCCTTTTTCCTGATCATATATGGAGTAATCCTTCGAAGCTATTCCGTAATAGTGTATTTCATTACGTGGTTGTTTTTAGACTGGATTGAAGATAGCCAGTATAAATGTTCAATTCTTTAGTGTATTACTTACTTACGCCTGTTACACCTCGTGGAGGAGCATAGGCCGCCCACCAGCACTCTCCATCCAACCCTG